TTTATTGCATGCCGAGGGTAATATCTAGGAGGTTTCTACCAAGTACGAAGATATGATTATCATGTTATGATTACATTATTAGGATATCTGTTTGGGATTCGGATGTTGATTCTCATCTTTGTGGTGCTAAATCTCACTTTTCTACTTTATTAAATATGAGGTAAGCTATGTTGAGGGAGAAGGCAAAGATCAAATGGTTATCCGATGGTGATAGAAATTCGAGATTCGCTGGAGGATAGGGGCTACCAACCAGCGAATAGGTCGGTAAAGTTAACGAGCATACGGACTCAATTGTAGAGAGTTATGGGATTGTTAGAGTACCTCTAATTGCCTCATGTCCCTCTTACTAACCCTTTCACAACCTAACGAGTTAGTCGTTCCTTTCAACAACTAACAATCAAAAAATGATGCGGGAGATGGTGATAATAAGGACTAGATTTTTTTTTAAATAATGTTTTTATACATCTTAACATTTATATATTTAATTTAATTTAATTTATTTAATTTTAATTTTATTAAATAATATATCATGTTTTAATAAGGTATTGTGTATAGTTGTTTATTATTCTAATTACTAATGGCTATTGATTGTTTTTTTTAAAAAAAATAATCACGGAATAAAGAGGATAATTAGAGACCGATACATATATAGTCGCTAAATAACGATAGATTTAGGGATAAAATTATGAGAATATTAGCAACTATAATTTAGTGACGAGCCATTTCGTCTCTATTTAGTGACGGATTTAAGTGGAAATAGCAAAGGTATGGTGACGGATATAAGACATTACGGAAGACTAAATTAGATCGATTTAGTGACAAAAAGTCAACAATTTATTGATGGATATTCCATCATTAATTAGTGATGAAAGAAAAATTCGATCGTAAAAAAAATAGCAACCACCATATTAGCAATGGAATACATATTGTCTCTAATCTTCACTAATTGCATATAGTGATGGATTTTTGACAAATAGCTATTGATTTTTATTTAGCAAAATTCGATAGTCGTCCTTCCTACTAACCTTCCATAACCAAGGAGTCGGTTGTTCATCTCAATACTCAGCAGCTAGAATATGATATAGAAGATGATGAGGACTAGATTTCTTATTTTTTAAAAGTTTTTCATATTTTCGTACACCACACGTTTATAAATTTATTTAATTTTAATTTATATCATTTTAATTTTATTAAATAATATATCATGTTTCAATAAGGTGTGATTTTTAGTTATTTATTACTATCATTAACATTAAATGTGATTAATTATATATATATATATAAAATATTTCTTTGTTTAGCGATGGATTAGTAACCAAATTAGCAATAAAAATTAAACCTTTAGACAATAAACACATATATAGTTGCTAAATTCCAATGGATTGGCGAGAAATTTTAGTCAATAAGATTTAGCAATGGATATTTCGTTGTTAGCTAGCAACGAAAATATCTAATTAGCAATGGTTTTGCGATAAATAATAGATAGAGGAAATGGTACATTTACTTCGCTTTTTTGTCGCTAAGAAAATAACGACGATCACATTTGCTACTGAAAGTATATTATCGTAAATCCATCACTAAAGATAAATAGCGATGGATACTAATGATTTAGCGACAAAAAAATTTATCATTATTTTTTGATTTTCTTATAGTGTCTCGTTTGATCGGATAGGAAAAAAATTCAATTCAATGAGTCAATAACTCACCATGAACTTAAAGTTTTGAAAGCTAAGAATGAGAGAAGAGCAAACGAGTGAAAAATGAGGGATAAAAAGACATCGGATGAGAGAGGTGTTGAGTTGGTCACAATCACAAGAGGAGGGAGGACGTGTCTATATGGTCTATTTTATGTTTACCAATGTAGAGAAATAACAAGATTCATAGGACGGGCTAACAACCGAGGGTTGTCCGAGGAGGAGTGGGAGGTGGCTAACCGAAGCTCGATGAAGGAGGGCTACTAAGCTCGGTGAATAGGGGAGGCATTTGTTACTCTATGAAAGGCTAAAAGCCTTATCGCTTCGTGGATTGCGATGCCATTTACTATTTAAGAGTAGGAATATATATATATATATATATATATAAACACAAAATAGACCAAAAAAAATTTTGACCAAAAAAATTGAATCGAACCCAAAAAACTAAAATAATTTCAATTTGTTTTTTTTTAATTTAAAAAAAAACTACATCAAAATTGATATTTTATTTTGGTTCGATTATTAGGTTTTGATTGAATGGTGAACACCCTAAAGTGTCTATAAATATAATCTAGTTTTTAAAAGTCAAGCTTGGAGTACCGACCTATATTAGCTTCCTCACCCAAAATTAGCTTTTTCGTATAATGTAGTGATGAGAGACATACCATGTTATGTCTTGTGTACTTTTGGCCAAACAACTTAATAAAGTGAAATGACAAATTAACTCCACCTTCAAATTCAAATAAAGATGTCCGAACCCCTCTCAAATCCTCCCCGCCACTGACACCATCTCCTTCGGTTAAACCTTGCTAAAACCTCTCAAGCCACTGGGCTCATTAGTCGCCTAAACCTCATAAACAACATTGAAATCCACCAATCATAGCCACCAACTTCTCTAACCCGACAACATCGAGACCCACCAGCCCACTATGGCCCTCTCGACCATCACTCTCTTTAAATCAAACCCAACACCAGCGACAACCATCCCCATCATCATATCAAACCGAACACTAGCTACGACTCTTTCAGCCATACCTTTCCTTTGACCAAAACCCAACACTAGCCATTATAATTCTCATAGCCACCATCTTCTCCACCCAAACAACATCAAATCCAAATGCAAGTCACTATCAAACGACACTAAAGTTCTCTCTCCTCTAATAAAAAAATCAATGTTGTCACCGAACTCTCAAATGGAGCTAGACTGGTAGTAGTTCCTACTTTTTCTCATTACTTCTTCATTTGGACAAAGATTTTAGATTTATTGAGAAAGAAAAAAAGAAAAGAAAAATGATATTTATTGAAATTAGCCATGAGATGAATATTATAATTAGTGATCTCTTGACTAACAACACCATTTTCTTATTAAACAATTATGTTGTTGTTGTTGTCATCTATTGGTGCATATAGCATGTGTCTAGGTTTGGTAATTTAATTTAGGTTTAGATTTTTCGATCATTTCATTATTACGTGTTTGTCACGTATTCTCAAATGTTGGTCAACAAGTGAACTCGATTGCCAAAAAAAAAAAAAAAGGGATTGATGCTCAAATAAAAATTTCAAATTCAAATATCAGTTTTCATTTGACTGAAAGTTCAAAATACTATAGAACTAATTAGCTCATCACAACATATGCCCTAGAATAACTACTACCTTATATAAAGGAATCTGCCCACGTGGACATGGTTTTTTTTTTTTTTAAAAAAAAAAGAAAACTATAATACTATAGGCATGCAGGACATGTCATTCCGCCTTTGTGATTAAAACAATTTTCGGAAGAACATTAAAGGAGAGTTAGCAAGTAAAAGATTTTATTCTATGTCAACAATTCTTGTGATTTCTCGTTTTTTTTTTTTTTTACTATTCTTTTATTATTTATTATTATTTTTTTCTAAGGCTGATATATTCCTTTCTTTGACTCCTTACCTAAAATTCTAGTGCACATGCATGACCTTTTATTGCACAGCTCATGCGTATATTTTAACAATTTGTGCTTTTCCATCATGTATCGTTGAAACCCACTTGCAGTTTTCTCTATAAAAAATGACCAATAATTTTTTTTTATATATATATAATTTAGAATTACTTCAATCACACTTAAGTTAACATGATACATCGGATAACATCTAAATTATACGTACATTAGATGAAGAAAAATATTTTAATATTTATATGATCTTGTAGGTGATTACCATCATAACACGAATTAAATTATTGAAATCTTTATTCATATGAATCACTATCAGAAAACTGTTAAATATTGTATAATAAGTCTGTTGGTAAAATTATTAGGGGAAAAATGACCATCGAAGAAGCCATGCATGTTCCGTGTATATGTTCGATTTGTTCTTAAAACTAATATAGCAATTTGATTAATTTTTTATATGTTAATTTATGTTTTTTTGCACATCAAATTGATTGACAGTAAGTTTTGCCTAACACAAGACTCGCGCAATGCAAGAATGTATATGAATACTGTGACATGATAAGTGTCCATATTTTATTTTTAAAATGCAATTGTAAGATTGATTTGATAAAAAAATAAAAATATAAGAGAAATAGGTAAAAAGCCTGATTATAAAATCATTAAAAAAAAACGTAGGTTTTAAGTCTATATTAACGTTTCACATTATATAAGAGAAATTAAGTCCAAATGCTCATTCTCAAATTTTTTTTTATCAAAATCTGCATGAAGAGAAATTAGCTTTATCGTTGACAACAAAAATTGATCGGAATTTTTTTAAGAAAAAATTAAAATTAAGATACAAAAGAATAATATTATTAATTGTCTAGGTCATTAAGTAAATTAATAAAATACCCTCACCCAAAACCTTACATAATCCACTTCAAGTCCCAACATATATATCATATATATTTCATACAAACACAGATCACAGAATTAAGATTGAACTCCTTTTAAAATGTCAAAAGAAAGAAATTAATAGTCATAAGTTTTACTATCTTCAATTAAACTCAAATCAATTAATTTAGAATTACTAAACCACCACAATTTCATGGTAATCATAAAACAAACAATAACAAGATAGTCCTTAAATCAGATCCATTCAATACATAAAAAACATAGGTGAAAATGAAATTCAAAACATGGAATTAGGGGCAAAACTATCACAATCAACAGATCAGGGACTGAAACATAGTATTTGAGAAGAAGAAGGGACCAAACTCGAAGGAAAAGCTTACAATACCCACATTGATTCAATCACACAGTTGAAGCCACGCCATGGACCAGACCTAACAAGAAAGTTATCAGCATACTAGTTATAACGATAAGTAATGCATAGTCTTTTAACATATGGTTGGGACAGTGTGCCGAAGCAACTCCTCATCCTCTTGGAATTTGACCATGTCTTCCTCATTCAAGTGCACAAGTGCTTCTATTCCATCACCTGATGCAGTGTCCATGAAAACAACTAGATTCTTGAAAGTGAGACTGGGAGAGCCAACCCATATAGGTTTCGCCCACCCAAAATCAGCTTCATACAAAGGAAACCTGCACAAGCTTGTGAAGTTCAAAGAAACCATCTCACCTTTGAGAAAACTTGCAGCTTGTTCTTTTATGAAATCCAAGTGCTCATTGCCCTTTTGCAGTTTTTTCACGTACTGTTTGTCAAGTTTACCAATTGAGTCTCTGACCTGATTGACAAGACTGTAGTTTTCCCCACCAGTGCCAATGGATGGAATTGTGAATGCAACCCGATAGTAGTTTCCGAAGGAGTATTCTGGCAATGGGGGTTCCATCCTCGAACGCAGGTTCACTGCATGAATCATGGAGTAAATTCTTTCAGGTCTTGATTCTACTTTAGTGGCAGCCATGAAGCGACGCCACATGAATACTGACAAGGCTTCAACACGTGATGGTGGTCGCTGATTTTCCAAGCTTCCACTTTCACTGTATTTTTCTCTTAGCGTCTCTATTGAAGATGAGCAGAACACGAACCTTTTGGTCACAACACCCTCTTTAGTGATACCAGTGGCTGGTCTAAACCCTGATATGTTGATAGGTGGGAAGAGTGTTGCAGAGACGAATTCTGGACTTATTATAAGATCTGCTTCTTCGCGTGCAGTGGCGGCCCAAGTTTTGACAAACGTGAAAAGTGATAATGCATCTCCAATTTTGTGTGAGATGCCCAAACCAATAACAGTTCCACCACACTCAAAGATGTTGTACTGGATGCCTAGAGGCAATTCTTCAGCATCATCTAGTGCAAATGGGATCAACTTGTTGAGTTCACTAGGTACTGGATTCTCAACAACTTGTGAAAGTCGGCACCTAACTTCTGCTTGAAAAAATGGAACGCCCTCATCGTTGCATTCTACGAAAAGATTGTCCCTAATACGTCCCGCTAAGGGATAGTAAAGTTTTAAGGTCTCAGATAAGGATTGCTTGAGCTGGTTCGATTTCTCTATGTTGTTGATTTTGGCATCACCGTCTGTTGGATAAAAGAGGAGCAAAGGGTTATAGACCGGAGGAGAGATTTGATCAAGAAAGGAGAGCTGGTAATGATGAAGGTGATCTGGGGTTGGAGAAGATGGCTTGATAATCTCATTGGAAATTACTTCAATTTCGAGCTTCATTTCAACAAGTTAGCCTTTTCCAGAAGTGTTTGTAGTTAGCACTTGTTTGTTTGGTATCTATATACCTAATTCGTTTGCAAGGCTCTTATAAAGAGCTGCTTCTGCACAGAAAAATGCATAAATAAACCATTCAATTAATTGTCGTTGATTTGTGGGACATGTATACATTCTTAATTAGAAGATATTCTCAAAGTAGGATTTGGCTCCGCTAGAGTTAAAGATAATATGATCTATCATGTTTTAGGTAAATTCAAACTAAATTGAAAAGGATTTTAAACATCTAATAATTTGATGAAATAAAATCCTAACTATTAATTTCAAAATCTTCTATCTGAATGTATCTAAAATTATATATTATGTTACTCTTAGCTTGAAGGGAACTCAATCTATATATATATATATATATATATATATATGGTGTATGGTATATGGGAAAACGATTGCTTGACAACATAGTTTTTGACAAATTTTGTTTCTTTATGTGTTATCATCTCTATCATTAGATGAAATCCGATAGATAGTTTATAATTGATGCAAGTAGTGAGAAGGGTAAAAAAAATATAAACTAGCAAACAAAGTGCAAATTGAGTGGCAAATAGATGGAATGTTACAATCCGAATAAATTTTCTCTATCGTGTGAGTATAAGAGTTTTGAGAGTATTTATAGGCTTCATTAAGGATCTAGAAGTTGAGAGTTTTTTTTCTTGGTAAGGTAGATTTAAAAATTTATTTTTAAAATATGATAGTTTTAATCTTATTTCTCAAAATAGGGTTTTTATGACACATGGGATGTATACATCATCTTTTTTTCTTTTTCAAGTACATTTTGTCATTTCAAAAGAATGAGTTAAGGATTGAGTTATGCAACAAGTTAAGAGCATGAGTTTTCTTCACTCGCTATACAATTTGATGACTTTGATACTGTAAATGTTATGCTCGAGAGACGCATCTCTCATTCATCAAACCACTCAAAAACCATCACCACACCACCACCACCCGACCGCCTATCTCTATCACAAACCAACCAATGGCCCCTACTACATGATTAATGGTGCATGAAAATATTTGAAACTAGTTAAAGAAAAACTCCATGTTGTAATTGCTTTCAAGACCTTTTGTCAAACACATTGTAGACACACTAGTTTCGTTATTTATAAAGAAACAAGAGTTGACCTATTATGATTCATAATGATTCAAATTCTTCTTTCAGTTTAACTAGTTTTTTTTTTTTTTCATATAGTGGTTGTAATTGTTGACAATCCTAACAAAGATGTGCTAGTTTATGCAAATATGGTTTGATTCTTCTTGATAAAACTTTTGAAATTTGTGTTGTACTTGATAAGGCCAGAAATTCTTATTCAAATCATGACTAAAATGAAAGAAACATAAAGGTTTGAGAGAAAATGAATTTTGTTGTTTGATGAGTAAGAATTGACATTAATTAAATGTCTTTAGCGAGGTTTCATTGATACTAAACTTGGTGTCTTTTCCATTTTTACACAAGACAACTTTGTTCACCATGAAAACTTGTTCTTGCAGGAACCGCAAGACTTTCGGCATTCCATGTCCGCGTTGGAAGTGGAGGGGATAGATTACTTCCTAAGTGGTATAGTGAGAAAGGTGAATGCTACTTTAATCGCCTTCTTTCTTTACCTCATATAATGTATGAGAAATTATTTAGAATAAGAGAAAAGGTTGAAATTAAGAGCGAGTGTGTTCCGTTGTTGCTGGCAATACTAGGAGAATGGATGAGGTAACACTATCCCATAGATCTAAGGCAAACGTGACAAGAGAAAAGGTTGACATATATTAGAGAAAAAAATACGGACATGTCCATCTTACGTGACATAATTACTCTGTTTTGATAAATAAGATTGAAACTACCCTATTTAGATAATAAAGTTTCAAAACTACCCTAGTAAGGAAAAAAACTCTAAAAGTTGAAATCCTTTTATAATGATGTGAAATTAATATTTATAATAAAATAAAAATGGTTCTTGACTCGCTAAAATCATGCCACATCATCCATATTTGGACAATCAAATTTAAATTGAAAAAGTAAATTCTTTTAAACTAAACTACTTCGATTTATTAGAGAATGATAAAAAAAAGTAATAATTTGGTTTTTTTTAATAGATCTTGCTACGAGTCCAACAAGCCGGTTTTATAATACATTTAAAAAATAAGACATGGATACTAGTTTTACTAGAATATTTGTATCCATCCTTGGATGACTCAAAATTTTATGTTAGATGAAACTCATTCTTAATTCAATTCATTTGTTGTATAGTTTGTATCTATGTCGAAACACAAATAAATAAATAAATAATGAATTTACTAAATTTTTAATTAATTTTTATGTACAAATTGAGAATTTGATATATATATATATATATATATATATATATATGTATGAGAGAGAGAGAGAGAGAACACATTCCACAATCCCCGATCTATACTATTGGATGCGACCTCTTTTGCCAACATTGTTATCTTACTTGAGATAGTATATATTTCTTTCAAAATCATCTATCTCAATTTTCCTAAAATTATATATTATGTTACTCTTAGGTTTAAGGGAACTCAATCTATACGAGTATATTATAAATGGTGTATACGGAGGAAAAAGATTGCTTGACAACATAGTTTTTGACAAGTTCGTTTCTTTATATGTCAATATCATCTCTGCCATGGAATGAGTGGTTAAAGCCCAAATAGATGTTGTTTGATGCATGAGTATAAAAATTTTGAGAGTGTTTAAAGGTTTTGTTAAGAAGTTAGAAGTTGAAATCTTCACATAATGATATAAGGTTAATATTTATAGTAAAATAAAAATAGTTATTGATTGTTAAAATCGTATCACAACATCTATATTTGGATGGTCCGACTTGAATTGAAGAAATTAATTTTTTTTACTAAACAATTTCAACTTGTTAGCAAATTTTAAATGAAATAACAACTGAATTTTTTTTTATAAAAAAAAAAAAAAAGACCTTGTTTCGAGTCCAACTAGTCAATTTTTCTAATACATTCAAAAAATAAGACATGGATAATAGTCTTATTAAAATAATCGTGTTTATCTTACATGACTTAAAATTTTGTATTAAACAAGAATTTTTTTTTTAATTCAATCCATTTATTATATAACATGTACCTATACATGCCGACAAAAAAAATAAATAAATAAATAAATATGAATTTAATAAATTTCAATTAACTTTTATATACAAATTGAGAATGTACACCTCGTCAATACATATATACATATATACCACAATCCCTAGTTTGTAATATTGGATGCTAACCTATCCCACCAACATTGTCATCGTACTTGAGATGGTATATATTGAATACATTAATTGTTTCTTTCAACTCGAGACATTACACTTTCAAGAAATTTTATAATACACGAGAGAATAATTAGTAATATGTATAGTAGTTACTTCATAAATCCACTTTGAGAGAGAGATAGACACATTAAATTATATCCGAATCCACCAAAAGTGATAAAGAAGATTTTCACGTTTGCTCAATTTTTTTTTCAATTTTCTCTCTCCTATTTCTCTCTTTTTTTGTATCTATCTCTCTCCTCAAAGTGGATCCATAAAATAACTATTGTACATACCATTAGTTATTTCTTGTGTATTATAAAATTTCTCTTACCCATCCTACTTAATTATACAAGAGAACCGTATTTAACAACAAATTAAATCATTAATCGTCTATTTATACTTGTGTGTATAAATGGAGTGATTTTACATTCAGTAAAAGATATTTACATCCACAAATATTTAAAAGAATCATTTATATTTATGTCAAAACCAAAATTTATGATATTTTCACAAAAGAAACTAACAGAAGAAGATTATACGTGCACCAACTCGAACCTGAAACCTCGAAGCAAATAAGTTTTCTCACTATTTTCGAACCAAACTAGCGTCTTTTCATTAACTATGACAGGCACTGCTTTTTTTGAAACGGAGAAAAATCATGTCGAAAACCTTTGATGATCAAGTGAGACAAGAAAGATTATGAGAGGGCGAAGGTCTCTTTTCCAAAAAAGGCATCATATAAGATTTCTTATTTTACAGTGTTTATTATCTTCACTCCAGCCCTATCTGCCTCTAACTTGTGAATCAAGGAATTGGTGGATATAGACATATTAGAATATTAATTAAAAGAGATCTCCAATGCATGAATATATATATATATATATATATGTCAATTACTTGCTCCACTTATCCTTCTGCTAAATTAATCCTTTTGGACTCGCCGTCAAGACATTGTGCTGGACCAATTAAAAACGGTAGAGAAAATTATTGAAACTTTGAAGATTATGTCCTGAAACTCGGTTGATACTATTATATAACATATGATTCCTTTCGTGTCTTCACATTTATTTATCATACCCTCTCTAAGTTACATAAATGTTAAATTCCACGCTAAATGTCATAAGTTTTGACTGGTAACCGCCCCACGTTTGTATTTTTTTTTTACTAGCTTTTTTGGTATGTTTATCTTACGTGGTTTACATTATTTTCTCTTATTTAAATGAGTGAATTATTAATATATAAGAGATTATTTAGCAATATCTTAGATTATATTTATTTATTTTTCTAATCTAATTCTTAAAATATATTTATTTTCCTATGAGCAAATATACCTAATTTTTATTATATCAGAAATTTAATATTTGATTACCAATAATATGTTTTTAGAAATATTTTTAAACTCAATTATATCCAAGAATATTTTTGTTTAAAATCATAATATATAGTTATATTCAATATTTTTAGAAATGATAAATAATCTCAAAGTATACCAGTTTTACCTTCACTGTTACAATTGATCTTTTCATATAACAAAATGTTTTCAAATTCATCCCCTTAGTTAAGTCCACTAAAAATCTCAACTAAACTTTGAATATAATTGAACTTGTGTACTTCTCACACTTTCTTGAAAATCTCTTACTGTTTTTCCATTTATTTTTCTTTGCTTACATATTTTCTTACTGTTGAATGCTAGCTAATTTGACAAAGATAATCAATGTCCAAATTATTTCTAAAATAAGTGACATATTTATAATATCACTACCATCATTATAATATTTTCGGTTTAATGGCAAAAATTGCTTTGAAATTATTATGATTCAACAATTTCAAATTTTTATTATCAATTTGGGTTAATTAAACCCTAAAATATTATGTCTTAGATAAATGTGATCCTTACCGGCCCATTATGTTTAACGGTCAACTCTTTTACCATTAACATTTTAGTTTTTTTTTTAATTTAGTTAGTTTAATCAAAATATGGTTTACATAAAAATTGCATAGTGGCTATTCGTTAGATTGTAAAACTAATTACGCTCATCAAAAAATTATAATTAAAGTACAAATAATCAAATAAAAAATAAAAGTACATATATTTAAATAAAAATAAAAGTACAAATCTTTGATTAGAAATAAAATAAAATATTTATGCTCACATTAACTAAAATTATCGTTAATATAAAATTTTAAATTTTTTTCCTAATCAAGTATATCTATTAAATTCATACTAACATAGCTATTAAATTGACTAGATTAGAACTAAAATAAAATATTTAAATCTAGTGTTAACTAGATTGTCATGAACATTTTATTTTATTTCTAATCTAGGATTTGTACTTATTTTATTTAAATATATGTACTTTTATTTTTTCTATTTGATTATTTCTACTTTTAAATTTTTTTATGAGTCGTATTAGTTTTGATATCTAATGAATAGCCACTATGCAATCTTATATAAACCATGCTTTGATTAAAGTAATTAAAAAAATATATAGAATGTTAATGATCAACTATTTGATAGTTAAAAATAACGAATAAGAATCACATTTACTAAAAACATAATAGTTTGGGTTTCAATTAATATAAATTGATAATAAAAACCTGAAATTGTCAAATCGTAATAGCTTTAGGGTAATTTTTGCCATTAAACCTAATATATATATTCATGTCAATCAATTTTCTCATATTAAATATCTTTGCTCAATCACAATATTTTTTTATCCAAATAATATGAATTTATAAGATAATGATTTGCTGATATTTTTCTACAAATTTATTAAATTATTTAAATAACAATAGAGTATTGTCATCGAAATATGAGAATATATGCAATTTCTTTTTAACTAAACTATTGATCATGATGTTAGTATTTTCTATTTGGAGAAGATTATTAAATTTTTCCTATAATTAATGAACATTATAACCTACAAGCATGATATATGATTTCTATTAATTTATTATTAATAAAACTTGAAATTTCAAAAAAAATAAAATAAAATAAAAATGCCGCTTGCTATGCTTGTATTGGACAGTTTTGAGCTCATATAAACGAATTCTAATGGAATTATAGAAGTACAATTGGTGCTATATTTTGTAGGCAGTGGTGGAGCTATTTGAGTTATAAGTTGAAGTCAACCATTTGTGGGATAATTTCAATTTAGTACATGTTGCTAGCTCATATATTGTTTTCTAAACATTATTAAATATTATTGTCTAAATAAAAAAATCAATATGCATTAATTAAATGAGAAAATAGGTGAGAGCAATCACATTGATTGATATATCATCAAAATGATCGATGTAAAGAGTCCAACCCACTAAAAAAAATGATGCTACGAGTGTTTGCATATATATATATATATATATATATATATATATATATATGTATATGTATGTTAACCAAATAATAAGTGTTCATTGATGCCAAGCTTATCCTATCGCTTAGGAAATATCAAATCTAGATTTTCTTTTTTAAGAGAATTAGTTAAATGCCTTAAAAAAGCCAATTGCTTTGCTTGTATTTTGATGATATTTCTTAATTCATTGTCTGCTTACAACTGAGGCATGCGTTTTTCCTTATTTTTGTTCCGTTTAGCCTTTTCATTTTACTGTTATCCGTTCATGTTGTGGTTTGATCAACTATTGTCTCTAATACTATTTAGTTTAGTTGTTGCTCCTCTTTGGTACACATAAAACATTATAGAAATGTGCAAAACTTTTTTGCTAATCTTTTTCATTTTATTACTATTCATTCATGTTGTGATTTTTTTTTATTTTTATTTTTTTAACTTGTGGATCAATGAAAACAATTTTAATGGAGTAATAGGGAATCAACTAATTATGGAATCCTCACAAAAATTTTAACTTGTTATAAATAAATGTGATATATGATTTTTATTAAGAAATATTCAAACTCGAAACTTCTGAAAAACAAATGAAATTGAAACCTTAATATCAGTTTAACCATACGACTTGTTTATTGCTTTAATTTCCTCATATGATTTTACAATACATGTTAATAATATAATAAAGCATGCTTGCAGTACACCATTTACGTACCCTAACCATACTTATATCGAAACGCATGCTCCTGATGGGCAAAAAATCAGAACTTTTGCAGTTCCAACAACTCAAACAAGTTTAATACTAATAGGCAGCAAATCAGAATTTTTTTCTTGGGTGGGTTGCCTATGACATAATGGGCCAATTACGTAGGCTTTTTGTTGTTTCGGCCTAGTGTTGGCCGAAACTTCACGCTTTGGATATTGACGACCCAATCTAGGAGACTCTATATATAATTGGATAATGATCCAATTTATGTGGAAGTAAATTAGCTCTTCTCATCATAATGCCTAATTTGCAGTTGTATGTCATTAAATACCAATTCAATTACCAGTTTTATCGTAGCTTGCATTCGCTTGTAATGTAAAAAAGTCTCAGACCCTACTCTTTTTGGCTTAAAAAATCTTACTAGACATTCAAAATTCCCAGATAATTATCACAATTTTTAAAATTAACACACAGATTTTGAAAATACAAAATTAAAATGAAGACACTGTTTATATAATTAACTCTTTCATTAACATAATAATATATGGATTGAAAAATCAAAAGTGAAAACAAACCTTAATCAAATGCAGCTTTTAAGCTCAAAACAGCTAGAAGCAGCCCTTGGCTTGAGATTTTTAAGTCTTCAGGAAGTAAATTAGTATTCTAAAATTTAGTCTTGCATTACATCCAATCAATATTAATTTAATAAAAAAATCCATTTTAAAATTAAAGTGATAAATTAAAAAAATTATTAAATTAATTAGTGATCAAGTTTTTTAAAAAAATATATATGAAAAAATAACACAATAATAAAAATATTTTACTTTTAAAATTTCAACATGTACTAAAGTCTCAACAAGAATGAATATTTTTCATATGATCAAAAATTTTCTTCAAAAAATATGTTAAAGGTATTTTTGTATATATAAGGAGCCAGTATAAACAAAATATTAATTTTTTACTAGCGAAAAACAAGAAATAAAAGAAATAATTGGTTTCTAGTTTAGTGATAATGAACTTCTTACACTTGTAAGAATTCTCGAGTTCAAATCATTATCTTTGGAGTATTTGAGTTTAAAAAAGCTTCATTACAAGGTAATTCTTCATCTTTGTATTTGTAGCCAATTCAATTCGTCGTGATGATACGACCTCCTACCTTGCTCCACGAACTATAAACACTAACTTTCTAATGCCAAACAACTGAGTAAGCTACATAGTTACTATCTATAACCCAAAAACAAAAAAACAGATGCTTTTCTTTATCAATTAGGGATATTTGAAATATATATATTATTTAAATTTTTGACAAGAGAAATATTTTGAAATAAATATAAATAGGAAGAAAAATAATTTTTTTAATACACAAAGAGTATTAGTTTAGCCAAATACTTGGTAGTATTTTTAAAATGTTCATCAAAAAGATTCTACTAATTTGGTAGATGTCATGATTGCTGCATTATTCATTCATGGAACCTGATTCTTCCTATGATTGCTGCATTATTTATCCACCGAGCTAACGACATTACCCAATATAAATATGTTGTTCCTAGCACCTAAATTAATCATGGAACAAAAATTAAACAATAAAAATCACATCATTATTAAATAAATTAACAATAAATAAGGTGAAAGAAAAATTATGAGTTTTTTACTTTGATCACCGAGAAAATTAAAGATAAAGATCAAATCAAATTGCCATAATTTCATAGTATATCAAATCATATTACCATAATTTCATAGTATAATAATGATTAAATTGTTAGTATCAATATAATTAAATAAGTTGAAAATAATTAAATCATGACATATTAGATTAATTGTTTTCTTAAAATAATATATACCATTTATAAAATATTATCAACTACAACAAATCATTAATATGCCGCATTTAAGCTCATTATCAGTTTTGGCGTAATTTTATAAACTTGTGCCCACTTGTAAAGTAAGAAATTCTCACGAAGTACATTTACTTTAACCAAGTAAGTATTAAAATAAAATACGATTGATATTATGTTTTAGAATAGACTAACAAGAAAATTAAAGATTGATTTTATCAATCTAATTCACATAGAATATTTTCTAAGGTACACGAGGATGCCTTTTTCATACGTAGACTAAACAAACGGTTATAAGCATCATTAATCGTCATCATAATACTATGGTTAATGTCCAAAACTTTTTTAATTAAATATTATTTAAAAAATAATAATCTAACATAATATTTAACCTCATACTCCCTATATATATATATATATATATATATATAGAATGGCCCCAACTCTCGACCTAAGGTCTTGAATCAATAGCATGGTGAAGGAGAAAATATCACATATTAAAATTGGTGAATAAATGATCTGATTACTTAATTTATTTTATCCTTGTTAAAATAGAATAAGATATTTAACAGTTAATCCTCCTTTAGAAAAGTCATTATATATATAAAAAAAAAAGTCAAGAATATAAAAGCTAAAATCATTAAAAAAAATTAAAAAAGAGAAAATATTTGTTGACGAAATTTACTAAAAAACCAAAGGAAAATGTTCGGTTACTATAGCGTTACTATTTGAAACACTCGTACACGTTCTCACATTTCACTATTCACCCTCTCACAATTCATGACTTTTTTTACAATTTGGTCCTTAATATTTTCAAACGCATATTTCGATCTACATATTCATTTGCTCATCTATTTTGATCCTTAGGTAGAGAGAGAGAGAAGGCCGAGAGGAAGAGAGAGACAGGAGGAGAGAGAAATCGTCGGCCAACCTCATTTAGGCCACTTTGGTAGACGAAAATCCATTAGATTTTTTTATCTTTGAGAAATGAATTTGTCCATGATGGTTTCAGAACTTTAAACAATTAAAGTAGGTAAATTGGAGCTAAAAAAAAAAATCGATTTGATTTTGTATTTTTCTTTATTTTTATGTATATTAAAATGATTTTTAAAATGTTAGATGTGTTTATTGACTTTATTTCAATCATTTAGAGGTGTTTGGAGAAAAAAATGATGCCAAAATTTAATTTTTAAGAGTCTGAAAGTTGATCTTTGATTTTTCAGCAAATTTCTAATGACTTCGGGTTCGTCGAAAGTTACAGATTTTATTTTTATTTTTATTTTTATTTTTATTTTTATTATTATTATTATTATTTGGTGCTGAGGAGCAGCTCAGGCTTGACGCGCAAGCCCAAGCTGGCCTGGCACGCTGGCTTTTTCTTTTTTCTTTTTTCTTTTCCTCGAAAATCTGTATATATATACATATATTTGCGCCAAGCCAGCTAAATGTTCATATATTTGCGCCAGGCCAGCGCTGACTTTTTTCTTTTTTTCCTATGCCACACAGCTATTTGAAGAGAACAACCAGCCTGCCCCTTTTTTTTTTTTTTCCTAAATGTATATTATATAATATATAACAATATATATATAAGGAATTAGGTGTGCAAAACATAAAAAATAAATCCTTATAAGTTTTAGATGGTAGAATATATATGATATATTTTTTAGATTTTAGTTTATATATATATATATATATATATATATATATATATATATATATATATATATATATATTACTTTTATTGTTTAAATTTTATTTTTTAAATTATTTTTTTCTTATTAAAATTCTCATCATATTTATTTTTGATGTGATTTTATTTGTTAATAAATTTAGTTTTTTGATATATGAATTTTAGACTGAAAAATTAGAACATCGAGTCTTTTATTTTTTAAAAATATATTATTATAATTTATACAAAAAAATTCTTATTTTGTTTTTTAAATGCTTTTTTTTAAATATAATATTATAATTTATAAATTTAGAGAGAGAGAGAGAGAGAGAGATAAAAGGATGTTTTAGATAGTCTGACTCATTTTCTTTAAAAAAAATTAATAATCAATTAAAAGAATTCATAAGTTTTATTTTTACATACATGCACACGAGTATCTTATACTTTTTTTTCAACTTCAAACTTTAATTTTATTGTAATTTTATTGCATTTTATTTTAGTGTTTTTTTATAATTATTTTTATTATTTCAAATTTGCTACTTTAATTTGTCATTCTTCATTTAAATTCTCATCCAATTAATTTAAAATTATATGGTCCTCAAATTTTCTATACAATATTTTTTAAAAAAATTTTAAACTTTAATTGTATTATGATTTAATCCCATTTGGTGTTAATATGTTTTTTAATTTTTTTAATATTTAAAATATATAGCTTTAATTTGTCATTTTTTTCAAATTTTCATCCAATTAATTTCAAATTATATTTAATGACGGTTTTGGTTTATTTTAATATTATTCATTCTTTTCTTATCCAATTAATTTAAATTTATACGGCCCTCGATTTTTTTTATACAATATATTTTTTTTAATTTCAAACCTTAATTGTATTGTGATTTTATCTCATTTTGTTTTAATATTTTTATCGATTATTTTTATTATTTAAAATTTACTTGTTTTAATTTGTTATTTTTTAAAATTCTCATCCATTTTATTTAAAATTACATTAAAATATTTTAAAAAAATTTCACCTTTTATTTCATATATTTTTATTCATTCACATCATAAAACAAACTATCAAATTAAAATGATTTTATATATTTTATCTAACTCGCAATGTAACGCAGGGAAAAAATTTAATCCAATCTAAACGATTACCAACGCTACCATCAAATGGAAGCTTTAAAATATTTAAAATATTTTTTCACCTTTTATTTCATATATTTTTATTCATTCACCTCATAAAACAAACTATCAAATTAAAATTATTTTATATATTTTATCTAACTCGCAACGTAACACAAGGAAAAAATCTAATCCAATCTAAACGATTACCGATACTACCATCAAATGGAAGCTTTTATCTTCATAAATCCATAGTATCAAAATTAAACATATTAAAATTGGTGAATAAATTATCCGATTACTTAATTTATTTTATCATAATTAAAACGGAACAAGATATTTAACGAGTTAATCTTCCTTTAGAAAAGTTATTACAAAAAAAAAAAAAAAGTCAAGAACATAAAAGCTAAAATCATAATAAAAAAAAACTAAAAAAGAGAAAATATTTGTTGACAAAATCTAATCTCAACGCTTATCGATGCTACCATCAAATGGAAGCTTTTATCTTCATAAATCCATACTACCAAAATTAAACATTTTCATCCATAGAATAGAGGATTTGAAAATTTTAAATCTAAAAAATTTAAATTCAAACTTAGCATTGATTATTTGTTTATAAATATTTTTTTAAAATTAGATTTATGCTTAGAAGATCGTTTAGATGCATGTTTTCTTTTTTAATGGAAAAAAAGAAAAAGAAAAGAAAAGAAAGATTTTAAGTCCGCCAACTTGTTTGAATCCGACGTGATAGTCCGATTTTGACAAGAGACAACGGACGACACACGTACGCAATATAATAGTTATTTTAAATATAATCCACCTTACATAGACGACATAATTATGTTTATGCCACGTAATCAAATAATGCCACTATTTAACAGAAATTTTACTAACATTCAAAATTTCAACATAATTGTCAAAACTTCAAAACACCTATTTATAAATAAAAATCAATAAAACCAAATGTTAAAAAAAAAAAAATTAAAATCGAGGCACTCGTTTATATAATTAACTATTTCATCTAACATGATCGTATTTGGATTGAAAAATCAAATCAACCTTAATTCTAGACTAGTTCATAACAAACAAGCGGTCAAAAATGCGAGCCGACCAAAAGCAAAACAATTTTTTTTTTTTTAATTTTCCAAATGCATGTTTTCTTTTTTAATGGAAAAAAAGAAAAAGAAAAGAAAAGAAAGATTTTAAGTCCGCCAACTTGTTTGAATCCGACGTGATAGTCCAGATTTTGACAAGAGACAACGAGACGACACACGTCCGCAATATAATAGTTATTTTAAATATAATCCACCTTACATAGACGACATAATTATGTTTATGCCACGTAATCAAATAATGCCACTATTTAACGAAATTTTACTAACATTCAAAATTTCAACATAATTGTCAAAAATTCAAAACACCTATTTATAAATAAAAATCAATAAAACCAAATGTTAAAAAAAAAAAATTAAAATCGAGGCACTTGTTTATATAATTAACTATTTCATCTAACATGATCGTATTTGGATTGAAAAATCAAATCAACCTTAATTCTAGACTAGTTCATAACAAACAAGCGGTCAAAAATGCAGAGCCGACCAAAAGCAAAACAATTTTTTTTTTTTATTTTCCAAACGCATGTTTTCTTTTTTAATGGAAAAAAAGAAAAAGAAAAGAAAAGAAAGATTTTAAGTCCGCCAACTTGTTTGAATCCGACGTGATAGTCCAGATTTTGACAAGAGACAACGGACGACACACGTCCGCAATATAATAGTTATTTTAAATATAATCCACCTTACATAGACGACATAATTATGTTTATGCCACGTAATCAAATAATGCCACTATTTAACGAAATTTTACTAACATTCAAAATTTCAACATAATTGTCAAAAATTCAAAACACCTATTTATAAATAAAAATCAATAAAACCAAATGTTAAAAAAAAAAAAATTAAAATCGAGGCACTCGTTTATATAATTAACTATTTCATCTAACATGATCGTATTTGGATTGAAAAATCAAATCAACCTTAATTCTAGACTAGTTCATAACAAACAAGCGGTCAAAAATGCAGAGCCGACCAAAAGCAAAACAATTTTTTTTTTTTATTTTCCAAACGCATGTTTTCTTTTTTAATGGAAAAAAAGAAAAAGAAAAGAAAAGAAAGATTTTAAGTCCGCCAACTTGTTTGAATCCGACGTGATAGTCCAGATTTTGACAAGAGACAACGGACGACACACGTCCGCAATATAATAGTTATTTTAAATATAATCCACCTTACATAGACGACATAATTATGTTTATGCCACGTAATCAAATAATGCCACTATTTAACGAAATTTTACTAACATTCAAAATTTCAACATAATTGTCAAAAATTCAAAACACCTATTTATAAATAAAAATCAATAAAACCAAATGTTAAAAAAAAAAAATTAAAATCGAGGCACTCGTTTATATAATTAACTATTTCATCTAACATGATCGTATTTGGATTGAAAAATCAAATCAACCTTAATTCTAGACTAGTTCATAACAAACAAGCGGTCAAAAATGCGAGCCGACCAAAAGCAAAACAATTTTTTTTTTTTATTTTCCAAACGCATGTTTTCTTTTTTAATGGAAAAAAAGAAAAAGAAAAGAAAAGAAAGATTTTAAGTCCGCCAACTTGTTTGAATCCGACGTGATAGTCCAGATTTTGACAAGAGACAACGGACGACACACGTACGCAATATAATAGTTATTTTAAATATAATCCACCTTACATAGACGACATAATTATGTTTATGCCACGTAATCAAATAATGCCACTATTTAACGAAATTTTACTAACATTCAAAATTTCAACATAATTGTCAAAAATTCAAAACACCTATTTATAAATAAAAATCAATAAAACCAAATGTTAAAAAAAAAAAAATTAAAATCGAGGCACTCGTTTATATAATTAACTATTTCATCTAACATGATCGTATTTGGATTGAAAAATCAAATCAACCTTAATTCTAGACTAGTTCATAACAAACAAGCGGTCAAAAATGCAGAGCCGACCAAAAGCAAAACAATTTTTTTTTTTTATTTTCCAAACGCATGTTTTCTTTTTTAATGGAAAAAAAGAAAAAGAAAAGAAAAGAAAGATTTTAAGTCCGCCAACTTGTTTGAATCCGACGTGATAGTCCAGATTTTGACAAGAGACAACGGACGACACACGTCCGCAATATAATAGTTATTTTAAATATAATCCACCTTACATAGACGACATAATTATGTTTATGCCACGTAATCAAATAATGCCACTATTTAACGAAATTTTACTAACATTCAAAATTTCAACATAATTGTCAAAAATTCAAAACACCTATTTATAAATAAAAATCAATAAAACCAAATGTTAAAAAAAAAAAAATTAAAATCGAGGCACTCGTTTATATAATTAACTATTTCATCTAACATGATCGTATTTGGATTGAAAAATCAAATCAACCTTAATTCTAGACTAGTTCATAACAAACAAGCGGTCAAAAATGCAGAGCCGACCAAAAGCAAAACAATTTTTTTTTTTTTATTTTCCAAACGCATGTTTTCTTTTTTAATGGAAAAAAGAAAAAGAAAAGAAAAGAAAGATTTTAAGTCCGCCAACTTGTTTGAATCCGACGTGATAGTCCAGATTTTGACAAGAGACAACGGACGACACACGTCCGCAATATAATAGTTATTTTAAATATAATCCACCTTACATAGACGACATAATTATGTTTATGCCACGTAATCAAATAATGCCACTATTTAACGAAATTTTACTAACATTCAAAATTTCAACATAATTGTCAAAAATTCAAAACACCTATTTATAAATAAAAATCAATAAAACCAAATGTTAAAAAAAAAAAAATTAAAATCGAGGCACTCGTTTATATAATTAACTATTTCATCTAACATGATCGTATTTGGATTGAAAAATCAAATCAACCTTAATTCTAGACTAGTTCATAACAAACAAGCGGTCAAAAATGCAGAGCCGACCAAAAGCAAAACAATTTTTTTTTTTTATTTTCCAAACGCATGTTTTCTTTTTTAATGGAAAAAAAGAAAAAGAAAAGAAAAGAAAGATTTTAAGTCCGCCAACTTGTTTGAATCCGACGTGATAGTCCAGATTTTGACAAGAGACAACGGACGACACACGTCTGCAATATAATAGTTATTTTAAATATAATCCACCTTACATAGACGACATAATTATGTTTATGCCACGTAATCAAATAATGCCACTATTTAACAGAAATTTTACTAACATTCAAAATTTCAACATAATTGTCAAAAATTCAAAACACCTATTTATAAATAAAAATCAATAAAACCAAATGTTAAAAAAAAAAAAATTAAAATCGAGGCACTGTTTATATAATTAACTATTTCATCTAACATGATCGTATTTGGATTGAAAAATCAAATCAACCTTAATTCTAGACTAGTTCATAACAAACAAGCGGTCAAAAATGCAGAGCCAGCCAAAAGCAAAACAATTTTTTTTTTTTTTAATTTTCCAAATGGAGGTAGTTAACTACCTAGTATATAATCCTAATAAACTGTAAAACTCAGAAGCTTCTGTCTCTTCTCTCTCTGACCTTTTTCATTATCTATAGCGCCACGCTTTGAAAGAACATAAACTTTGAATTGAACTCGTCTCTTCTTTCTCTTTCTCACATCATCAATGGCGTTATCTCCATGGAAAAAAAATAAAAATGTTATAGTACTGAAAACTCAATCAATTCTTTCCTTGCTTGGTCGAGTCTCCACCAAATTCCTCTTCTTATCTCTCTCTGCCTTTAATCTTTCTTTCTTTCTATATTAACAAAGATGCCAAGCTTAATTGTGAAACTCTACAGTGTCTTCTTCAAATATCAACAAAAACACCTCTTGCAAACCCTTTCCCAAACTTCTCTCAATCAGAAACCTGACCCATTTGGCGTAACGTCTCGACCCCACGAATCCATTGCCGCTAGCAACCCTGCTTTTACTGACGGTGTTGCCACCAAAGACATCCATGTCGACCCCCTCTCTTCTCTTTCCCTCCGCATTTTTCTGCCTGACACAGCTGTCACCTCTCCGTTGCCTTCTACGCATGATTACGCCGGCTATTTGCCTCCCCCAGGTAACTTTCACCGGAAGTTGCCTGTGATGCTGCAGTTTCACGGTGGCGGGTTTGTGAGCGGAAGCAATGAATCGGCAGGAAACGATACGTTTTGCAGGAGAATAGCCAAATTGTGTGACGTTATTGTCGTGGCTGTTGGGTATAGATTGGCACCAGAGACCAAGTATCCAGGGGCTTTTGAAGATGGGTTCAAGGTTCTGAATTGGTTAGCAAAACAGGCTAATTTGGCTGTTTGTGGGAGATTGGATGACCAAAACCATATTTTTGATAGCTTTGGTGCTTCCATGGTTGAGCCTTGGTTGGCTGCTCATGGAGATCCTTCCAGGTACCCATTGGCTTAACTTGCCTGTTCATTAGGCATACAAGTATGAAAAATCAGATATTGATTTTCATTTTATCTGTTATTTACTCATTAGTTTGATTGCTTTTTGTAGCCTGGTAAACAGATTTTCTTTCACTGATCTTGTCACAGCTTGCAATATTATGTGAATCAAATTTTAGGAGGGAATTTGTGTTTTAATAATGAAATTATTTGGTACTGAATGTTGAGTGATTGGATGACTGTTAGCTTTTTGCCTATAAGGTGGATATGGAGAAAAGTTGAGAGAATTCTAAGTGCTGCTAAATTGTCTAAAAGTTACAGAACTCAACTATAAATCATCTTTTATTATTTCTCTCTGATCAGTTTCAACCATGGCGGAAACTGTTGGAGTTCTTAGTTGCTGATTGCTTGACTGTAGTGTGTCCAATTCATTTCGTCATTATACCTCATAGAAGTAGTTTGCTGATTCGCTAGCTTCAACAATCTATATGATTCTAATTCATCACCAACAAATATATATATATATATATATAGCTGTTCATTTTAGGGATATTAAAACTTTGCCAATGGCTTTCTTTTCCTTCTGTTTTTAATGAAGTAGTCTTCCCTGACTTGGTTGTGATACCAGAACAGATGCGTATTGCTTGGGGTGAGCTCTGGTGCTAACATAGCAGATTATTTGGCGCGAAAGGCTGTAGAAGCTGGAAAGTTATTGGATCCTGTTAAGGTGGTGGCACAAGTCCTCATGTTTCCTTTCTTCATTGGAAGCACTCCCACGCGTTCTGAGGTTAAGCTAGCAAACTCTTATTTCTATGACAAGGCTATGTGCAAGGTGGCATGGAAACTCTTCCTACCTGACGAACAATTCAACCTAGATCACCCAGCTGCCAACCCTTTAAATGCTGGGAGACAGAGACTTCTTAAGTACATGCCACCAACACTAACAGTTGTGGCAGAGCATGATTTTATGAGAGACCGGGCCATTGCTTACTCAGAGGAACTGCGAAAAGTTAACGTGGATGCACCTGTTCTTGATTATAAGGATGCTGTGCATGAGTTTGCTACACTTGACGTGGTTCTCCAGACACCACAGGCCCAGGTATGTGCGGAGGATGTAACTATATGGGTCAAGAAGTATATATCCCTTGGAGGTCATGAGTTTTCATATTAAATATGTACAGCCCAAAGAGAAAAGAAAGAATGGAGAGGTTAGGAGAGGAAATGGACTGCTTAATATATTCAAGTAACAGCCTTTTCCATCTCCTTTCCTTTTATTCTTGTTTCATTTTCTTAATCAAGATGAGGAGCATTATTGTATTACGGGAACCAGACCGTCCAGCTGGTTGTCCTAATTAGTTGATTATTCAGGACCTAGGAGGAAGGGTGTGTTCTTCTTCTCTTGTAAATTGTCTAGTGTGTGTCTGATGGTAGGATTTTTCAAATTTTGAAATGGATTTTTTTTTTTTTTTTTTTTTTTTTGCATTACATATATCAGGAACATTCTTTTGTTCTGGTTCCCATTTTAAATATTCATACTATTGTGCATGTAGGATCGAAATGAATGATATACATTTTCGCCGTCGTTCTGTTTGATCAGTTTGAAGTTTCTTGAATGAATCCAGCAGCATAGCCTGTTTTAATTCTCTGAAGTTGCACATATTTCCTTGCCTGTGCCAATTAAGCTCATGCACTGATATCAATATATGTCAATTTATACTGCATAGTTTCCTTGAGCAGTATGCAGATGCATTTTATAGCTTTGTATATGAGTATTTGCCTATGCCATATTCACAGTAACTGCAACTGCATATCAGCAATATGTGATTTGATTAGCAATGCTTTTTACCAATATTTTAATACTTGTTCAAGTTACAGAACAGAGCTATACTGTGACTTTGAAGAAGGCCAGACAGAGTCCATCCTCCTTTTCTAACGACCCTGCTTCTACCATTTCATCTTTAGAAACAGCTTTTCAATCATCTACATAAAAATGGATGCATCTGCCAACATCAGGCTCCCATTTTTTTAAGGATGCAAACACATACAATAAATAGGGTTATGATTTGTAAGCTTTCTAGAAACCGTAGTGATTCTGAGATGGAAAGGACTGCAACCGGTTGAGGTGAATGAATGCCCCATATATTTTGCATTTAGATCAGGACTGATGATATTTATGCTTGGTGGTCACAGAATCACAATTAACAAATTCTACAGCTTACTAACAAACTTACTTTCCAAGCCAAAATCTGCGAACTTCTCCTGGTGAATTATGGTCTTCAAACGTCATGATCCCATAGTTTTTTCTCGACTCCAATATATAAATCAGTCCACCTGAGGAGGATCGCCAACAACAGTTGTGGCTCTTAGAAATGACCCACAAACTTTTTGTGTGTTACTGGTCTGCTCCCCGCTCTAACGTACGGACCGATCAAATTAAGTTTATTTTAGTTTAATAGTTTGCTATCGATCAACTAAAATAAATAAAATTAAAGACAAAAAAAGTTATCTGATTTTACAGTTTTTAATTAATATTTTGTATTTAATTCATTTGTTTTTGTTTTTGTTTTTTTTTTAATAAATTTTGTAGATGAAAAAATACAATCTATTTTTCCTTATTTATTTATTTTTAAATAAAAACATGTAATAATTTAAATAAAAAATTTAATATCAAATTTTAAAAAACATCTTAATAATTTTTTTCATAAAATTACATCGAAGAAATAAAAAAATAATTAATATAAAAATTTGTATAAAATTTAACAAATGAATATTTTTTATTGTTTCATAATGTTGACGAGAATACTAGCTTTTTGAAAATATGTATATTTGATTTTTATATATTTATTTATAAAATAATCAATAACATTAATATAAAAATGTATTTGAATTATTAGTTAGTTCTTCTAAAATATTGTTTAACTTATTTTATTTAAAAAAAATTAATTTAAATTTTTTTAACAAAATTAATATCAACAAGTTGGTGTTATGTGTATAGATGCATAGTTAATTTTTAATAAAATCAATTATCTTAACTTTTTTTATATGTCATGAACATAATCAATGAGTCAGAATGTGTAATATAAATAAAAAAATTAAAAATTAAATTATAAGAAATATATTAAAGTTAATAGACTATAATACAAACAACTAAAAAATTGATTCGATAAATTTTGATTAAATGAAAAATAAGCAAATAAAACAAATGAATTTTATTTTTTAATTAAATATTTATTTACAAAATGATTCAAAAATCCATACACAGAGAAAAATAAATTATATTTATTAACAAATAAAATTACATAAAAAAGATAAAAAAAAATTGAAGAGAATTTTTATAAGAAATGACCAATTAAAAAACAATAAGAGTAATATATATATATATATGTTCATTGAAAAATGTAAAAAATAACAATTGCTTTTTTTTTTTAATTTTTGCACTCAATTTAATAAAAAAAAAATCATTGAAAAACAAAAGGCAAAAAAGTAATTATTTATTTTTAAAATGATTCAAAAATCCATATACATAGGAAAATAAATTATATTTATTAGCAAATAAAATTACATAAAAAAATAAAAAATAAATTTGAAGAGAATTTTAATAAGAAATGAGAAATTGAAGAGAACAATCTTCACTAATAAAAATAATATAATCCGATAGATATGTTCATGAAAAAGCTGTAAAAAAAAAAATAACAAATAGTTTTTTATAATATTTGCACACAATTCAATTAAAAAAATGCTTGAAAAAAATAAACAAGCCTACATCTAGGGATCAACGATATCTTTTGAAAGCATTAGAGACTAAAATGAAATATAATGTAAAATTTGTATATGATTACCCGAAACAACTAAAATTCATAACAAAAAACTACAAAACGAATAGTGATTTGTAAGGGAATAAATAGTTAATGAATGGTCATGATCTCTATTCTTTTAGTTGTTTTTTGTTAATATTTAGCTCTTTCCCGCATAAATTGAAAGAATTAAACAGTTGAATTGTTTGCCACCAAAATTTCTTGTATCACTAACCTTATTTGTAATTGTAATGACTGTGGATCATAATTTAAAATCCCAAACACAGTTGTAAAAATGTCAAGATTGCAATAGAGAATCGCAATAGTAATAGTAAAATAATAATTACAACAATTGATATTATGAATATATTCACGATCATTAATAAATTTATTCTAATTTATATATTTTAAATAATTTTAATAATTAAATATAAAAATAATATTTCTAATTACTTAATCATCTGAATGTATGAAAACATATATAATACATCCAGAGGTTGAAAAGATAATGATTTTTTTACTTGAATCAATGATGTTTCGAAGAATCAAAAGTATTTTTTTAATAATAATATAACGGTTGTTATTTATTGAAAATAACGATAATAGCAGCCGTTATTGATATATAAAATGGTCATTGCTCATTTTTTTGAGTGAAATATTATTAGACTGTTTATAATAAAAACAGACAAGCAAAACTTCATTAAATAACAAGTATTATGTTACATGATACCCGTTATTTGGAACAATAATCTAGACTATCCGTGCCACAACTACAACACTACCATCTAATTTACAGTTTTGGGACCTTCCACTACTTGCACTTAGGACTCAAATATTACATGGAGTAAATTATAAGTCAGTCCTTTTATTTTTTCAGAAATGAATTAATTAATTTTTTTATTATTTTTTAAAAATTAATTATTTAGTTTTTTAACCATTGCTATTTAGGCTTAATCTAATAGTATTTTACTTATTTTTTCTCTTTTCTATTTTTCAAAACAAGAAATCAAATAAACTGATAGTGAAAACTATTAAGTTACAAAAAAATTAAAAAATATATATATAAAGATTAAATAATTTGTTTTTAAAACAAGAAAGATTGATTAATTAATTTTTTGAAAATAAAAAAATTAAGTAGCGTTTTGTTCTTTATACTTGGTGTGACTTGTCTTTGAATGGAAGAAACCCCCAAATATTTACATTCCAATCCCAAAAACAAGAAGAAGAAAAAGTAGCCTAATTAATACAAGTGAGAAACAATTTATTCGCTTTGCTTTCTCCCTGTCAGATAGCCATACTAACATATCAATCCAAAAACTCAATCTATTATGCATTAATTACTCCATAATAACACACCTAAAGTCAAAGTTTTTTTTATTTAAAACTCACACAGAGTTAATTTTTAGTAAAAAAAATCTATGATTTCATATAAAAAAACATTTTATCCCTAAAACTTAAACTATTCAATAAGATTTTATATTATTTTCTAATCAATATGTTACATCTCTTCCTTTAAAAAAAAAATATAAATAATGAAGTATTATCGAACTGATTTTTGTATTAGTCTAAATTTTTCAAATTAAACGAATAACAAAATGCACTAACTTTGAATAACATGTCTTTCATCCTTCATCCTCCCTGTAAATTCTTTCTTAGACTTTAACAAACGTTTGCTTTCATTATTATTTATCCAGATAGGTACATTTCTATTTATAAATTAGCCTCTTTAGTTTTGATAAATGAATTAACTAATCTTTTTTATTTTAAAATTTAATTATTTAATTTTTTTAGTCCATTTTATATCTTTTTCAATTTATTTTATTTTTTGTTTTTTTAAAAGATATTATAGAAAGATTGATAAAAAAAGAAAATATTTTTAAAAATAAAATAACATTAAATTAAAAATAATCAACATTAGTCAATAGACTAAATAATTAATTTTTTAAAAAAGAGATTAATTATTATTTTCCTTTGAAAATTGAGAGAGTAATTTGTCATTATATCCAGTAACCTTCTAGGTTTCCACAGATTCAATGTGATTCTGATTTCTTTCTCCAAGGAAGAGACTTGTATCGAATATAAAAATACGCATGTCGTCATGGTTTTATGCTGATGACTTGACGACGTGGAAAGAAAAAGTGGGACCCTAAGAAGCAAAACATTAAAAAAGAGAAAGCCATAGTGGTCGGTGTAACAAAGAAGGACAGGGTGCATCATCTCCAATTATTATTCACCCAAATCCCGGTAGTCTCATAGGTGGTTGGCCATATACGGCAGGATACTAATAATGGCAGTTCGGGAGAGTGCCGTGCTGCCCTCCAAATGACTGGATTCTACCTGTTACATCAGCCATCGCTAAGCTCGAGCTAGAAATGGCAATGGGACGGGGTGGGGCCTTAAAAATATTGCCTTGTGTCTTGTTTGAGATAATATTTCTCGTACCATTTTCATCCCAAACGAAGATAGAAATTCCTATAAAGTATCGATGTTCAGTTTAATTTTTTATTTTCGTCTCATTTTGTTTTATTTTATTATAAATTTTAAATTATAACAGAGAAATAATGATTCATATAAAAATAAATCCTAAAAGTCAATAATTATAGATTTTATATAAAATATAATTATAATTTCAAAAACTGAGCAGAGCAAATGAGACAGGACGGATAAATATCATTTCTGTCTTATTTCTGTTCAAAATTAATACGAAACGAGACGTTCTATCTCATTTTTCAATCAAGTCAGAAAATCCTTACATTGATTAAGACGAGGCGAATCGAACTCCGTTGGAATTAGACAAATTATCACCCCTAGTTTCAGTATGCTTCTATATTTGGTCTTTGAATCATGCCATATTTCTTGCAATACGATTTTGCGCGTCGTCTGATTCCATATAACCTTCTCTAGTCAATTGCCACTTTGGGTTTTAGAATGATTAAATAAATGCAACAACTATCTTCTATACTAACATTAATAAAAATTTTAGTATCTTAGATAATTCATGCTGTGCAAAAATAGCAACTAAACACAACAAAAAGAAAGATGCAAATATTATTATGTGTTTCAACGCGTCTAAAATCCGTGCCCATTCTATGGAGATCGATCTTCACTTTGATTTTCCAAGAGAAAAAATATTTTTTGTTTCTAGAAAGCAAGGAAAATTTCCAGAGCATATTGATATTACCAATATTCAATCATATAACATATTGAGATTAAGAATGATCAACACAAAGATAAATTAAACATTAATATCATTTTAATTTACATGACATTCATTGACATTTTAATTACTTAATGATGTATAACTACACTGCAATCTACAATAAGAAACATTAATACCAGTTAGGCTACAATTCATTACCATTTTACCTGCTTAATGATGTATAATTATACCTCAATGAAGGTGCATATGAACGTTTAAGAGACTAAAAAAAAAAGGTTAAGGTTTAAGAGATGGACTCAATAGATAAATTGAGTAAGATTTAAGGACTGAAAAAGATAGAAATAAAGTTTGCAAGATTTGGTTGATAATCAAAGGATAGGTGGAGGACTTGAACTTCATTTATCCCCCTTTTCCCATCATCCATTTTCATGTTCCTTAATCAACAAATCAAGATCCTGGCGTTCTCCCCCTCCTCTCTCTGTAGAGATGCCAAACTTAATGGTAAAACTCTACAGTGTCATCTTCAAATATCAACAAAAACATCTCCTACAAAGCCTCATTGAAACCCCTGAATCCAACAAATCAAACCCATTTGGCATCACTTCTCGCCCTCAAGAATCCATCGCCGCTAGCAACCCATCTTTTACCGACGGAGTAGCCACCAAAGACATTCATGCCGACCCCTTCTCTTCTCTTTCTCTCCGGATCTTCCTTCCCGATACAGCTGTCGCCTCCTCATTGGCTCCCAGTTTTCAAGTTCCCAATTACGGTGGCTATTCGCCGGCGGCCGGAAGATCTCACAGGAAGTTGCCGGTGATGTTGCAGTTTCACGGAGGTGGGTTTGTCAGCGGGAGTAATGAATCGGTAGGAAACGATGCGTTTTGCAGGAGAATAGCGAAACTATGTGATGTAATTGTTGTGGCTGTTGGGTATAGATTGGCACCAGAGACTAAGTATCCGGGGGCTTTCGAAGATGGGTTCAAGGTTTTGAATTGGTTAGCGAAGCAGGCTAATTTGGCTCTTTGTGGGAGATTGGGTGCTCAGAGCCATATTTTTGATAGCTTTGGTGCTTCCATGGTCGAACCTTGGTTGGCTGCTCATGGAGATACCTCCAGGTGCTCATTTTGTTTTTACTAAAAAAAAAAAAAACTCTGTAAAAATTGATTTTGCTTGCTAACTAAGCATCGTTTGCAAATGGGCATGTTTTGAATTCATTTAATTATTGTTATTGTTACTGTTTATGCATTGAGAATATGCCAGCTCTGTATCAGAACAGGGAATGTGGTTTTGTTAAATTGCTGAAGAGTATTGCAAGGTTTACAGCCTAGAGTGGTCTTATTATAGCACTATTAAAAGATCTTTTTTCATTCAATTGTACATAGCTCCATGATACAACGTAGATCTAATTTACATATTGGAGAATATTGTATAGTGGGATCTTTTTTTTTTTTTTTTTTTTTTGTGACAATGGGAACATTACAACGTATGGATGGATCCAGTGACTATATTACTCCTGTGCCTGAAATACATGTAAATTGTCCAAGTGCTTCTGGCACAATTTCCCCTATGAACCAGAAACTCTTGATCATGCTTGTCATATCATTCTCATTGTTAGAAGAGTTTCTAGAAGTTATTTGATTGTTGTTTGTTAAACGAATCCATATTTATACATAATATAGGCTGTTCACTACTGTGGTTGTTCAGCAAAATCGCTCTGGTTACACTATTCTAATTATATCACCAAATGCTGTTTGTTGTGGTCACTCTAAAATCTTTCAATGGCTGTCTTTATCCTTCTGTTTTAATGGAGCAGTCTCCCCTGACTTTGTATTGGTACCAGAACAGATGTGTATTGCTTGGGGTGAGCTCTGGTGCGAACATAGCAGATTATGTGGTAAGAAAGGCTGTAGAGGCTGGGAAGCGATTGGATCCAGTTAAGGTGGTGGCACAAATCCTGATGTTTCCTTTCTTTATTGGAAGTACTCCCACCCATTCTGAGATTAAGCTGGCAAGCTCATATTTCTATGATAAGACCATGTGCAAGCTGGCATGGAAACTTCTCTTACCGAAGGAAGAGTTCAACCTAGATCACCCAGCTGCTAACCCTCTCATTGATGGGAGGCAGCCGCCCCTTAAGTGCATGCCCCCTACTTTAACAGTTGTTGCTGAGCATGACTTTATGAGAGATCGGGCCATTGCCTACTCAGAGGAACTACGGAAAGTTAATGTGGATGCACCTCTTCTTGATTATAAGGATGGTGTGCATGAGTTTGCTACTCTTGATGTGCTTCTCAATACACCACAGGCCCAGGCATGTGCAGAGGATGTCTCTATATGGGTCAAGAAGTACATATCACTCAGAGGCCATGAGTTTTCTTATTGAATAGAGAAGAAAAGAAGAAAGTGAGCTGGAAGGGGAAAGATTGTTTGATAGATGCAGGATCATCTTCTTTATGATCTTCTGCTGCTTCTTTTCCTTTTCTTTTTCTTTTTTTCCCCCGGGAGATAAGCAGCATTGTTGTATACTGAGGAACAGAGCCAGAGCTTCTAGCACTATTCCATTTCTCAAGTTCTGTATTTAGGCGAAGGGTCTTTCTCTCTTATTGTAAAGTATAAAGTGTTTGTCTGAGTGTAGGACTTGCTTGGATTTTGATGAATATTTTATTCATTAGACATACCAGGAACATTACTTAGTGAGCTCAGTTCCAGGCCTCTTCACCTAAACAGTAGCATTGCAGTAATACTCTGATATGAGCTTCTTGCCACACCTGTTGTCTTCTTGGATTTGATGGCCTTCTGTCTCTGAGGATGCTCATAGAGCAAGCGTTACCTCTATATGCTGTTTTCTTTCTGCTGTCCTTGGAGGTACCTTGTTCTGTGCTCCTGCCAATCCTGCTTTGTAAATCAAACTCAGGTTCATCTTGTCTCTCCTGGTGTTATTTTCATCACTGATCACATTCCTAAGCATTGCTCCTTTGCGGACTACATTTCTTGTGTTTGTTCCCAATGGTATTTTTTTTAAACTGCTGGGCTCTTGATTGTATCTAGCACATGCTTTCTGACTTCTGAGTGTATACTGCTATAGACGATGTCTAAAAGTTGCGGCTATCATTACTTTGCTTGAATGCAAATGCAGCATTTGATTTCTATCATGATATTTTGCTGCTGTTCTCTGGATGCCATTGGTTCTCACCTAACCTTCCTCTATGTCTTTATGCTGAATGCTTCTCAGTTCTCTAATGTGCGTGGCCATTGTAGGACTGTTCTTTTGGGAGAGTTAGGGAAGAGTGTATTCTATTCTTTTCTCTCTCTCTCTCTCATGCCTTCATTTTTTTCATCGAATCAAAGAAAGAGGAACATTCTTCTGTTTGACTCTTATGTCCAATGCTAATATATATGTTGTAAACATTTGAAAAATGCAAATTTGAGGGATTCTCGCATTTTTCAATTTGGGTCATTTCGAAGTTTCATATGTGAGTCCAGTAGCTTTTGTGCAAGCTTGATCCTGTGCTGAAGAAACACATATCGTGTTGCTGGTGCCTAGCTGGTAATGGTATGTTATCCAGGCCGATTGTGTTGGCGCAAGGTTGTCTAATTAGTAAATTATAAGATAAGATAGTGTGTCCTGGACCAGTTCCTGCTGAGCACTGCACATGCATTTTATAGTTGCGCATACAGATCATCATGTATAAATCAATATTGCATAATAATAGCTGCTGATTGGCAGCTCATTTAATCTGTTGATTATGTCCTGTGTATCAGCACATGACCTGGATGAAGGAGAGCCAAAGTTACTGCATATTTTTTACAAGCACTATATATATCTATATATATATATATATATATATATATAGAAAGAATGCACTTTGATTGCTCTCTGTGTGCTGCCGATTCTCCAAGCTCAATCTTCTTTTCTGGCTTTTCTTCACTGCTGGGTGTTAAAATTTACGTCTATGAAATTTCCATCCTTAACGAGGAAACTCCTAGTGATAAATATTTGCTGGCACTGCAAATTTCATTGATTGCATAAATGTAATGCAAAAAGGAGATGAGAGTGCTCCTGCTCATTGCTTGCCACATGAATTCTGCAGTGATCGTAAGAATGACAAGACCATTCGTCTTAGTCTGAATCTTTGCCATGTGATTCCAGACATTTCCCCATTTGAGAGTAGTCATTCCATTCCACCTGGTACGGCATAGAGGACTCCAGATTTTTCAAGGGCTAAAGCAGAGAAGGCAGCCAAGGAAGGCGAAACCACTGGAATAAGTACTAGTTTATGCTACAGCTCACCAAGATTCTAGTTCGGGGATTGTGTCTAGGCGTACACGGAAAGATACCTGATAGCTATGAAGGCTACGATAATGGCAAATAAAAAAATAAATGAAGTCAAGGAAGAAGAGAGTGGCGATGCGATTTCCGAACAACAAACTATGATAGCAGCGAACGAAAGAAAAACCTAAAAACCAAAAGATTTTCTTTTTCGGAGTTGGTGTTGAATTTGAATGCTTTTTTTAAGGAAATACCACGTGTAAATATTTCAAATAATTGGTTTTTGGATTATGAATTCTGAATTTAAGTTATAATTCAAATTTTGTTTTTAATAAATAACTTAAGACAAAAATGAGTTAAAATAAATTTAAGTTTGAAGTAGCTTTTTGTAAAAATGATTCAAAATAATTTTTTTAAAAGTAATGTAGCGTAAGTTATAATTCATAAGTTAGAAGTAAGAAGTTTTAATTTTTTTTTATTAAATCAAAATTTTGACTCATAAAATTTTTTTGATTTAAATTAAAATTTATTTCTAACCAAACATACTTATAATTTTTTTTAAAGTCAAAAATTTAAAAACAACTTAAATCAATTTATAAAAATATAAAAAACACAACCTAAATCATTTTTTTCAATATAAATTCAACCAACATGATAAAACTTGAAAGAATAAAACATTAACGATTATAATAGTTCTAATGTTTCAAAGAGATTATTATTTTTAGTTTTTTATACATATTAAAAAAGTTATTAATTATTATATTATATTAGTATTTTTTATTTATATTTTTCAAAAATATTTTTTTTCTTAGTATTGTGTTTGGATAAAATTTTATAAAATAAATTTTGATTAAAAATATTTTTAAAAATATATTACTTGAAATTTTTATCAGATAATATTTTAAACAAATATAATAGAAAAATGGACGATGGCTTTAAGACCGAGGGAGTACTAATAATAATAAGTCCGGGATATCGGTATGGTACGCACCGTTTTAGACTACCGCACGACCACCAGTTGCAGGTGGGACCTGCTGGGTTAGTAATAAACAGAGGCCATTCCTCGGCCACGTGTAAGGCCGATATTGGTTGTACGTGTCCATCTTTCTTTCTTCATCATCCCTGCGTCTCTGGGTGCCCATTTTTCGTGGATAAGATTCCCTCTCCATTTTGGGTCAACAAAACAAAAACAGAGCAGGTTTTTGCTGATTTTGGAAGACTTCACTGCTAGAAAGCAAATGAAAATGGAGGCGAGCATGTCTCTAAACGCACTGGTTAGGCTTCCTTCATCAAGAACAATGTTAATGCACGAAGATGGAGGAGGGTTAGTGAAGCACTCACTCTTCTCTTCCAGGAAGACTACAGAAACATCTCAAAAGAGGCAAGTTCAAGGCCACATGTCATTGGTTGTTAAAGCCAAAGGAAAGAAAGGAATGCAAGCACGTCAGTTTCAAAGAGCTCCAGCACCTTCCTTGCCCAAGATTGAAGATGATGGCAACCCCAAATTTCTTATCTTCATTCGCATGGCCAATGTTTGTTCTCTTTTTCCCTTTTCTTTTCTCTCTACTGATTCTAACTGTGGTTTGCTGCTGTTAATCCAATCAAATACATCACTTCTCTCATGGGTTTCATTACTTTTTCATTTTTTTTAATGAAAAAAGTTCATTAATCAAGCAACTCGTGCAAAAAAAACTTGAATGCGGAAGCGGTATATTACTGCTGAAACTGATAAAAAAAAAACCAAACAATTACTTCAAACCCACTACAAAGATCCAACACTGACAAAAGAGATTGTATTTAGAAACTTCGAAGACATTAGTCAGCAGTTTAGTGCATTTAAACCTCCTTTGCACACTTCGAGATGATATTTTTTAAAATAGTATCAGGTTTTTCTCCTGTAATATTGTGAACTCTCGCATTTCTGGCTTTCCAAACAAAATAGATGTATGAGCATCAAGCAATTGGTAAGACAATCGCATCAAATTTCTGCTTCCGCAAAAATTGTTTAGCCCAGTAAAATTCGTGATTCCAAGAGCCCACTTGCCGGTTAATCGCATCAATTGCTTGGTTTCATTGGCGAAGGGGAAAATAAGTTCTTCAATTTTACACTTTTGCAACAATAGAGTGTATGTATGCATGGTTACGCTCTTGTTTTACTGTCTCCAGGTTTATCTATGGTACCCGCTTAGTCTTATAACAGGTGGTACTACTGCCAAAATCATGGTTGCTGCCAAAGATAATTTTTTGGGAAAGTATATCTACAAAGATACTCTTGCTCGAAATCTTGCTGCAGTTATTTACAGAGTAAGTTCTGCTGATATGAATCACACAACTTACCTTTTGGGATTTGAGGAAAAATTTCCCAAATAGTTCACTCCTGACCTCTTTTTCCTTTTTTGTTTCTGGCATGGAGTTTAGCTGTCAAATAGTAGAACTTATTTTCCTCTGTTTGGATGTTTCTACTTTATGAGGAAAATGCTCAACTCATTAATGTTTATCTATCTTCTTTGATCATCTTCCAGATTTGTAACTGCTAACGCCTCTGTAAATGAGCTTAAAAGAAAAAAATCTGCAAACATCTCTAACACTAGTTTCTAGGAAATTTTATGTCGGTTTGCATTAGTCCCCTCTTTGGGACAAATTATGCATTGTTAATGTCTTCACAATCTCATTAGTGTTTTGTGGTTTGCCTTGCGTCACTGAGACTATTCCTGCCAGTTTTGATTCCGATTAAGATAACGTTTTCTTTTCTGTGAGCACAAAACCACATCAACATGTTACTTTGGAGGGGAAAAAAACACAACAAAACTAAATTGGAATTTGTTCTGTTATCAGAATGATGGGTCGACATTTTCCGTATGATGCTGACTGGATTTTTTTTTTTTTTGGTGTCTGCATGGTTCTCGCTGTGTGTTTCTAACTGCTAAGCTGTAATTCAAATAGGATGAGAAGGAGATACAGAAGACGGCATTTAAGCAGCATCGAGTATTGCGGTCAGCGACTGAATTCAGATACGGTTACAAGCTCGTTGTAAGCTTTCCTATAGCCTTTATTTGATATTTTATAGAATTCAAATTGTGTTTTTTCCCCTGTTTTTGGGAACATCTTTATTTTGTTGTAGAACAATAAAGAATAGTTCAGCTTTTTTATTGCCTGAATTTTTTATGGTTGAATATGAAGGAAAATGGTAACTTGAGAGCTGCGCTTTCTACAACAGATGTCATTGAGGTTAGTATTATCGTTATATAATATCCTTTTCCTGCTCTGAATCATATAGTTTGTGGGTTTTGATTATTTGCTTATTGGTGGACTTTTCTTTGCATATCCTCACATCTGAATCCAATCTTTAGCTTCCAACTCAAGACAAATTAAAAACAGTGGTTGATAAAGTGAAAGATTTCTTTGGCGATGCAAAAGATTCTTTTGGGAAGCTTACAGCACTAAACTCAACCGCTACTGAAGATGAAGAACTTTCAAAAGAAAAGGCCAAAGTAAGTTAGCTTGATACTTTCATTAATAATGCACTCTCCCTTTTCTCTTACTTCCTACTTGTTGTCTTAAATATAAAATTTTACAAGTATGATTGTTTTGGATGCCAGAGTTGAAGGCTGAAGGTGAAGAAAGCAAACTCTTGACAGTCGCAGAGACCATTGCCTTTTTGATTTCGAAAAGTTGCATGCAATACATACAAAGTGGCTTGGTAAGATGGTTCATAGATTTTTATTGGTAAACTGGAATCTATATATCCTTTTGTAGAAATATCTAAATTCAATTTACCTTTTTTGCTCATGTATGCAATATCTCGTTATTGAAAGATCTCCTTATGTTCGGTAGACTTTTATGTTTCCTCCATCATCTTTCTTGAAAATACCATTGACTATGGACTTATGAGCACAAGAACACTACGATGAGGATTAGCGAGAGCCTAGAAACACACCACTTATCATGACCTCTTCCCATAAAGTTTGTATTTTTCCATTAAATATCTCCACTTTCCCTTGTTTAATTTACCTTTTCCCTTTCCATAACGAATTTTATTCAGATTATTTACCACCAAAAACTAATATTACAATTTTCGATCTCTCAATGATCCATTCAAGCAAGCAATCACCCTACATTCTCCATTTGCTCATCCTCTCTGAACTCATAGTCCTTACCCGCTATTGACACAAGAATTAGAGCAGTTTTCTTTCTTGTGGTAAGCCAAACAATCTAATCCTGCTTCACTTCATCTGCTCCAACCCTGTGAGGCAATGCCAGGTCAATATAAATCAGAGCAAGTACAATCTCTATGACAACTATCCAAAGATATATATCCTGGGCACCCCGTCTGCGTGCCTCCAAATGTGAATTTGTAGCTCTGCAAGTGTGGAAATATTAGAATGAAGGTGGTGGTTAGATCTTAGGGGAAAAATGACAATGGTACCTATAGACCAGCAAAGTGAGTTCAGAATGAGAGTGAAGTTGCATACTGTCATAAACTTTCCGGCAGGTTTTTATATAAACAGCTACAAAAGATTTTATTCAGATTACTAGTACTAAAAGATAGTATTGCAGCATCTAGCTAGCTACTACATTACATTCAGCCTAAAAAGTAGTATCCTTTGATCTCCCAACGAAGTCGCTCCCTAAATATTCTTTGATCACTTGTGGTCGTCTAAGTATAGGCTGTTGGCACCAGAACAAGTGCAGATTTCTTTCTTGTGGCTAGCCCAAATATCTCAGTAAGGTCAGTATCATCAGGTCCAACTCCAAGAGGGAACGACCAATCGAAATGATATAAAAGCCGAGCCAGTGCTATCTCTATTGTTGCCAATGCAAAGGCGGAACCTGGGCAACCCCGTCTTCCTCCCCCAAATGGCAAAAACCTGTAGTCTTGATCCTTAAAATCAATGTCATTATCCATAAACCTCTCAGGATTGTATTTCAGAGGACTGTTCCACAACTTTGGATCCCTAGCAATTGCATAGGCGTTGATTAGAACCCGAGTTTTTGCAGGTATTTCATAGCCATCAAGAACACATTTTTCCATGGATTCGCGAGGAACAAGGAGAGGGACTGGTGGGTGCAATCTCATTGTCTCCTTTATGACAGCTTTCATGTAAGGAAGGTGTTGGAGATCGCACTCATCAATTATTCCTCGAACAGATGCTACTGTTCGAACCTCCTCTTGTGCTTTCTTCATCACTCTGGGGTGCCTTGCTAGCTCTGCCATTGTCCATTCTAGTGTTGCAGATGTTGTATCAGTTCCAGCAACGAACATGTCCTGTTGCATATACGCTTGCCCAGTAAGTTAATTTTAGCCACTAGAGTACTGTTTTTTCAAGACAAGGTAAAAACAATGCACGGTATAGTTACAACAATAAGCTTAGGGAACAAGGTGAAATTGAGTGAAGTTTCATTTGCCTGCTGGAATAAATTGCTCAAATTTTAAGAATAAAATGGCCTGTATTACAACTATTATCCTTCGTGAATTACGTGCGTAATCAGTTAGTAGCCATAAATTGGCTTAGAGAATTAATGCACGCAATCAAAATGAAAAAATTTCAAGTCAACAATCAAAATGGATATTTAATCAATCCCATTGAACATGTCTATAAATACCCTAACTAATTAATGTAAACTGTCTGAAAGATGGATATTCACCATCTTTGACTTTGGTGAAGATCTTCGGACACCTAGAAGGCTGAAGCAATTAAAAATTCAACTAGAACCGTATCCAATGTATTAGTCTGACTCCCAAAATGAGAAGAAATGACATGTGAGACAAGCTGATATCACATTCATACGTGCATGCATGCCACGTCAATTCTGCTACCAGTGTTCTTTTTTCTATGAATGAAAGGTTCGTTTAATTTTTCTTTATTTTTACTCTGAATTCGAGAAATACTTAAGAGAAACAAGAGATTCTGATACCAGTAATTTTTTGAATTATAAATTTATATGTTTGACATTGTAAGTACGAAGCTATTTCAATAGAGGAGAAAAAAGCTGCGCCGAAAAATTATTGAATGAGTCCGATTTACCAGAACAAGGGCTTTAAGATTATCATCGGTAATGGGCACCTCCAAATCATCTTGTTTTTTAACTCTAAGCAACACATCTACAAAATCTTCCCTGTAGTATTCATCATTTTTTCTTCCTGCAGCAGCAGCAGTACCCTCCTTCCTTGCCAAATGCTCTTCGATAATCTCCTCGCAAACTGCTCTCAATTCCTCCAAATTCTTCGTCAACCTAATTCTGTATCCACTCACCCTGTTAACCCACTTCCACTTGGGAAAAAAATCTCCTACACAAAACCCAGCAAACAAAGCCTGTGTCTCTGTCAAAACATTCACCAATTTATTATTATTCCCTTCAACACCCTCTATAAACCTCTTTCCAAACGCCACACGACACAATATGTCGTTTGCTAAAGTGAAAAACTGCTTGCTCATGTCAACTTCTGTCCCGGACTGAGCTAAAATGTTTGTTACTAGCCGGTTTACTTCCTCATCTCGGACGAGTTGAAAGGAGTGGACCCGCTTCGGGCTCAGTAGCTCGGTGACGCAGATTTTTCTGGCCTGGCGCCAATAAGGGCCGTAAGGGGAGAAGGTGACGTCAGAGCAGCCAAAAGAGAGGTACTGAGCTGAGATGAGTTGAGGGCGATTCGCGAAAATGTGGTCGTGAGTTTTGAGAACTAGTCGAGCGAGTTCAGGAGAGCTGATGACAATGGTGGGGACTTGACCTAGTTGGAGATAAATAATGGGACCAAGCTGTTTCGCAATTCTGGTGAGAAAGTGGTGTGGCATTTCTGTAAGGAGGTGAAGGTGACCGATTATTGGAAGCCTTGGTGGCGAAGGAGGGATACTAGACCTTGAAAATTGTAACCTAGTTTTCCATACGTAGTACAAGAAGCTGGTGAAAAAGATGAAAAGGAGTGAGAGAGAGAGGGGTTGAGAGCTGAAAGTTTCCATCTTTTCTTTCTAGATTGAAGTGTAGCGATAAGGAACGCAAGGTGGTGTATTGGTTTGGTTTATAGAAAGGCTCAGTTCATTTGGAAAATGTTTTGTCCGACTTGCTTGCATGACGGCCATGCCATTTGGGAGCCAAACAGACACGCTATCAGACCCCAAATCATGGTGGATCATCTCATCATGAAATTGTCAATAACCCAACCATGAACCCACCTTTGCTGCTAACTTTAATGCATGCTCCAACTGTCCCAATTAAATTCATTCATATACCTAAGAGATACCATCAATGGATGTTGTGCCGACATTAAGAGGTTGTTTCGCTTTTGTTCAAAATCAAGGTTTGATTTTTGTTATTCACGAGAATTAACTATAATTATTCTTTAAAAATATAAATTTAAATTGATTTAGTTTAAGAGTTAGTGCAATAATGGACTTGTTCTGAAATTAATTTAGTTTAAAAAATGATGAATTTAATACGTATAAATTATTGATTCAGTTTGGAGTGAACTATTTTTAAATAAATTTTTTATCAATGTTTATGGTTGGAATCCTAGAATCTTAGTTATTGAAAAAAGATAAATCTTGTTGCTTTCACTCCATACATGATTGGTCCTATTTTTATCATTTTCAATATGAGAGGAAAATACTTTAAAAAAAATAATAAATTTAGTTTAAATTGATGCTCCAATAATACTTAAAAACAATAATGAATTTAGTTTGGATTGATGCAAAAAGTAGTGTAAAAATACTCTATTACATGTAAATATTTTTTTTTAAAAAAAACCCAAAGACTACGAATAGAAAGAAACTTGTTTAATTAACTTGAATACACTTAGCAAAATCGCCTAATTATCACAACATCCCAATTAAACCAACAACACATTTTGTATCTCCACATAGCCAAGCAAAACACATGTCCATGCCATTAGAAAAAATAGAAAATAGGTACAGCAAAAATTATAGACTCACCATATATGTGATATATATATGCGTCCATATTAATTTAATCTGATCTAATTTTCAATTTCTAAAAGCAAAAAATCTTCAAAAATAAAATTCAATTTGCCATAAACTTTTTAGGAATTAGAAAAAAAATAAAAAAATAATTTAATTAAACATATTAAAAATATAAAAATCAATTTCTAAAAGCAAAAAAATCTTCAAAAATAAAATTCAATCTGCTATGAACGTTTTAGGAATTAGAAAACATAATTTTAAAATATAAAAAAATATAAAAAATAGATAAATCCCTCTAATAATTTAATTTCTTAATTTTTTTAATATTTGGATGTTATTTCATGAGGGTAAATTTATTTTTTTAATTTCTAAATTTTTTCAAATAACTTTTTGCTTAAATAAATTGAAAACCAAGTCAAATCGAGTATATAAACATGTGTCACACACCTATTGATTCAATTAATTACAATTATTATTCAAATAACTTTTTGCTTAAATAAATAGAAAGCCAAGTCAAATCGAGTATATAAACATGGGTCACACCTATATTGATTCAATTAATTACTATTGTTATTCTTTTATATAGAGAATCTTAAGTTTAAATAGAATACGCTAGCTGCCTGCCTGCAATGTTTTGATTCACTTAATTACTACCATTATTCTTTTATATAAAGAATCTTAAGTTTAAACAGAATATACTAATTGATTGCCCATGCTATGCAGTGAGTTAGGCTGAATATGTGAAATAATTTAATTTTATATATTTTTAATTAAAATTTTATATTTAATTTCTTATTTTTTTTAAAAAAAATCTATAGTTAAAAAAACCTCAATTTGTTCTTCTTTATACACTGATTCTTAAATAAAAACTTAGAGTAATCTAAATAAAAAATTTAATTCAAAAATAAATAAATACTGTAATAATTTTTTCATAAGATTGTATCAAAAAAATAAATCAACAATTGGTAAAAACTTGAATAAAAATTAACAAATGATTTTTTTATTCTTAGTTAATGTTTATGAAAAGATTATTTTTAAAAAATATGTACATTTGATTTATATAAATTTATTAACAAAATAATTCATAATATTAGTATAAAAAGTTATATTTGAACAATTGAGCGGTTCTTTCAAAATATTATTTCAATTATTTTATTTTAAAAAATGATTTTAGAATATGAAAAAGAATAAATAATTGATGTTATGTGTGCAAATACATAGTTAATTTTCAATAAAATCAATGATTCATTTTGTTTTAATATATATACACTACGATAATAATTAGCAGATTTAGAGTGTAAAGTATAAATAAAAAAAATATATATATTTTTTAAAAAACTACTAAGTTATAAGAAATATATTAAAGTCAATAGATTGAATAAAAATCGTTACAAAATTGATTTTGTTAAATTTTGGTTATATATATATATATATATATATAAGCAAATAAACCTGTAAAAATCTATTTTTTAATTGATTATTTACGAAATTTTTTTTTCTAAAACACACACACACACACATATATAATTATACTACTCTAAGTTAAAAATCATAAGAATTCATCATATAAAGTATAATAATATATTTTAAAAAAAGAAAAAATAATCATGCTCTAAAATTTGATGCCAAAATTCTTATATAAAAAAAAATAAAGAATATTTATTAACAACTAAATTTATAATAAAAAAAATTAATTAGATGAGAATTTTCGATAAAAAATGATAAATTGAAAAAATAATTTTTAAATAATAAAAGTAATATAATTTGATATATATATGTTCAACCTAAAATCTTAAAACATATTATATAATTTCATCGTCATCAAACTGTAGGAAAAACTAAAAAATAAAAAATAAACAATGGGTTTTCTTTAATTTTCACACCCAATTTCGTAATAAAAAAAATTAAAATTAGATTGTTGGAAGAAAAAAATACACAAAAAAAGGCTAGGCCTGCGCACTTGGATCTGCTTGTGCTTGCCTGTTTGGGTCTTGGGCAGCCCTGCACGCCAAGCCAACTCCGGGCGCTTGAGCTTGCTTGTGTAGGCCTGTGTGCTAGGCCACTTGACATGCAAGACTTGCATGCTAGGGCAACCCTGCTTGGTTCTGGTTCTCTAGGATTGCAACTGATCAAAAAAAAAAAAAAAAAAAAAAACCAACTTTTGGAGGACTGGAGTTTGCAGAAAGCTTTGTCAAAAAGTCACGGATCTAATTTCCGATTTCAAAAAACTCATTTCTGGCATTATTTTTTACCAGATGCCTCAAAATAACCTAAATAAGGTTCATAAATTTGTTTGAAACCTTAAAAATTAAATCAAAAAATTTAATTTAATTTTTTTTTTTGCTTCGATCTATCTTCTTCCACATTTGATAGCTTAAAACAATTATAGACAAACTCTTCTCTCCAAGATAAATAAATTATATAAAATATTACAGTTTAAAATGGCCTGAATAAGCCTGACGCTCTCTCTCCTCTTTGCATTCAGAAACAAAAGTGTCATAAATGAAGTTGTGGATAAAAATAAATTTTTGAAAACATTAGGGGCTAAAGTATAAACATTGTATAATTTCCAGATGATTGTCCGAGGAAGGAAAAAAAAAATGCTCGAGTCCGTAGTTTCAAGAGAGTCTGAAGCTACAGTATTTGTACAATAAAACCCTCCAAATTTTTAGGGTTTTTTTGCAATTGTCGGAGGATGTCATTTATTATATCAGCAGTAGAGGGACCCAACTTATGAAACCTGAATAGTCGACAGACTTCGGGTGTAATTAACCCACGAAAATCCTCCGTGGGTGCTTTTTTATGCTTTTCTTTGGACCTGATACTTGCCAATTTAGCACTTGAATCACTCTTTCGTTGGGAAGAAAAGGGGAGCTTGATGCATCAATTCTTCGTGAAACTGATATTTTCAAGGAACCATTTTTCAGTCCTTGGTAGGAACTTTCTTGTTCAAAGAACATGACTGTTGGGTTCAACGTATCCATAATTTTGATCACCATGTCCACAATTGATGGATTTTGGATCACATTTTGAATAATTATGCTCACAATCCCAGTAACATGAGAGGTAAAATTTTTAGAAAAAGTCTAGCAAAACAGAGAAGTGGACACCATTGTTGGGCGAAATGACTTACGAGACGAACCTCAATAGGAATTGGAACTCGGCCCCATCATTTTGAATAAAAAGCCAGCAATGTATTTGCCGGAAGTTAGGTTCAGAATATAGAGGTTTTTGTCCGCATGGATGTAATCAAAGTAATAATATCCAGCCGGATACAAAATCTGAATCCGGGTACAAACAAGGACCCTAGCGTGCATCGTTAACCTATTTTACCATAATACCAAGGTTGATTGAAGAACAGCGATTGCGAGCAACGCTGTAAGAAGGCAGAGCCCCGCAGGGCCTCCCTCCTCTATTATGCTGAAGACAGTTTTTTTGTCATCAAATGTCTCTTAGAATTTGGTAAATGCTACCGTCAATTTATTTGGAAATTACTGAGAAATTGGAATAAAAGGTAACTTCGTTGATTCAAGATATTTTTCATATACGATCACTTTTGAGTGTCCAGAATCGTCCATCCGTGCAACAAATTATTTCCCCTATTTCAACGTTAACAAAATGGAGCCTTGTCAGCTAATAATCATCTGCTTCAAAGAGTATTGAAACGATCTTATGACTTGGAGCAGCTAGCACCTATTGATGAACTCCTCACAGCTACCTTGACTGCACCAACAGCACCAAGCTGCCTAATCTCAGGGCTCAGCCCATGTCTGTCCTGTCTTTCACATTTTTCTTCCATCTGAACACCCACAAAGTATGCTATCTGAACATTGATTATAAGCACAGTGAGAGAAGATTGCATGCAAAATGTTTAACTTCTTTTTGTCTTCTAAAGCTCCGGGAGGTGATATTGGCACTCCTCCTATGATAGCCACCTCCTGCTTTCTTTCGCTCATTGTGAAATCACAAAATTACTATGTATTAAACATTCTATTTTATCACGCTCTCTCTCTTCTTCTGACATTGAAAACGAGTAAATTATAAATTAGTTGCTTTAGTTTTTCAAAATGACTTCAATAATCCGTATATTTTATAAAATTAATTAATTAATCCTTAAAATCTATTTGCAACTTATTACCTTTATTTTTTTTAATCCTTACATATTTAATTAATCCATATATAAGGATTAATTAATTAATCCTTATATTATTGATGAGAAAAGAATACATTGTCAATTTAATAATGCCTTGTTCCAAACCATGTATTTTTTTATTTAATAACACTACTTGACCATATAAATAAGATGTCAAATATTGCATAATATTGAGAGATTTTTTTATACTTAAAAAATAACTAACACTTAATCCATCAAGATAATTTTAAAAAAAAAAATTACGTCACAAATAATTTAAAAATATAGAAAATAATTAATTAGTTTTTGAAACTATAGGGATGATTTAATTCATTTTGAAAAAACTCAAAAGACTAGTATATAATTTACTCATTTTATGTGGCAGCACCAACAAGAAGAAGAGTGACAAAATATAATATTAATTCAAGGTAATTTTGTTATTTCACAATGAAAAAAAGAAAATAAAAGGAATTAAGGAGTGACTATCACATAGGGGAGTGCCTATATCACATCCCTAAAGCATGGATACTGAAAAATAGAAGAGATAACAACCAAATTAAAGAACTAGGTAAAACAAGAAAGAAGATTCACCTAGAGATCATGCAGGCTCTGCCATTCATAATATGAAGAAGAAAACAAAACGGGAGTGACAATTATCTACAGTCCAAGAGATATTTCCTCGCAGTTTGCTAACCAATGACAATTTCGGGCAACCTATACTACTTCCAGCTTACAAGAAACTAGTATGTATACTCAGCTCATGATTGTAGCCTTCGGAATTTTACACCTAGAAAACACTGCCTACAAGCTAACATTCAATATTCAAATTTTATGTTGGCATCTGCAGGAATGCACGATTTTCCAATTAAGCATGAATTCAAATATCAAAACAAACGAATATGTGACAAAAACCACCTACAAAACAAAAATTTAAGAAAAACTCAATTGAAACAAGTGGATCAAAAACATGACGCCAGAGCATTTCTGCCAACATGCATTCTAGAAAACGAGCAGTCATTTTTTAAGCAATTGCGTGAGCTATCTTTTCCTTCGTTTTCCTCCAACTTCATTTATCATTTGATGCCCTTTTCCTTTCTATTTTTCAGGATGTTCAAGAATGAACAGTATAACCATGAATCATGATCTAAAACTAAAAGTTCACGAGGGCCAGGCAGAGCCCACATGATATTCATTGTGAAAACTGTTAAGTGATTATGAACATTTCTTTCTACAGGTTATCAACTACGAGTACATCTCGATTACCATAAAAATGGAAACTCAGATCCTGGGTAGTCATAAAACTAGGCGAGAGCATGGATGGATATAGTTCAGTAAAATTCCAGTTGTAGGTGAATTGCACATGTATCTCTAGTTTTAAGTTATTGCAAGCACAAATGAACCAAAAATAATTCTCAAAGAGTCTGGAGAAAGAATCAACTAGAATAGCAGGGTAGGGAATACCATATGTGCATCAATCTATGCATGCTCAGTGTTTGTTTGACCTGCTTTTACTAGATTTTAAGTGAACTTATTTATTTTTTTTTCCCTTCTTGATGCTCAATCAATTCCCATCAGTGTTTGAATGTGATATAGGCAGGTTAGGGAAATAGGTTATCAGTAGGTCTTCTTTAGACAGAGAGAAAAAAGAAGATATGTTTGGACTAAGCTTGATCATAGTTATTTTGATACTTGAGCTCAACACTGAGAAAATTATAAGAGACTGGTTGAATTGTCTTTGTAAGAGTACCTTGCCAGTAGCATTACGAACAGGTGACAAGTGAAGAAGATTCCAAAATTTACTCTCATCTTTCCTAATATTGAAGAAGAAAAACTATTAGTTAGAACCAAGCAATAAAATTTATTTCCTCCCAAACACATGGAAATAATAGTCAAGTGTCAACCTGTAATTTAAGATACATACTGTGCATGCTTGCTCAACCCGAATGCTTTCCTGTACCTGGAAGACAGTTAGCACAATAAAAAAATTTTCAATCAGTACAACTGTCAGCTTAATCTTAGGTTTGTATCCAGCCTAGTTAATTGTGAGATATATAGTGTAAACTTCTCTAACTCTTCTCTGTTGCTAATACTTATTATGAATCTCTATTCCATGTCATAAAAGTATACGGAAAAGGTTTTTACCTGATGCAAAACCGAGGGATCTGTATCAACTCCACTTAGAAATCTCCAATTGCGCCCTAACACTTCATGTCTATCATAGCCTATATAAGTAAAGAAGTGATATAAAAAGCTGACTGAACTGTGTTGTTCAGATATTAACACACTAAATGGTATGATCAATCTATGTAAATGAATGAAACATGGCATGTATGTGATGAATATGGATATCATAAAGTTTTAGAACCTGTCAATTTTAAGAAGGCATCACTTGCATAAACTATAGGCAAGTTAGGCAACTGTGGATCTATCCTGCAAAGGCAACAGATAAATGTTGCAAGAAACACAAAGCAAAAAGATGAGCAATCTCCATTGAGACAATTTCTGCTCATAAGAACAAAAAATAGGAATTTGCAACAACTCACAATACAAAGCTTTGTTTGATTCTACCAAGAGGTATATTTAAAGATGAATTGATGAGGCCTGCCGCAGGTAAGCTGCATCTTTTACCACACACCAGTCTGCCAGTTGACTCGCTATAGTGGGTTAGCACGGAAAAGATGTTGCTAATGGCAGTTGCAGCACTTTGCTTCTCTAGGTCACTTGCCTCGCATGGCTCTTCAGTCTCCACTCCTATAAATCGAGACTAATAAAAGGTTAGCCAAGCCAGAACCAGAAGTTACTAGTGAGAAGAGTCCGGATTAGAACCAAATCAGGGACATAGTAGCCTGAACAAGAAAATTGTGGTGAGAATAAATAAGAGTGATGATCATTGATCCAAATGGAAGAAAGGAATTGCAGTAAGGGCAGAGCTAAGAGAAACTATAGAGCCCAAGCAGTTCGAAGCCTAACTTTACAAGTTAAAGAAGCACGACTAACAGACGAAACAATGTAAAATCATCTCATGAAAACTGAAATGTGCAAGGACATGACCAAGTAAAATAAAGACTATATAGGAATTGAACAAAAACAAACCTCTACAATTGGTATCCGTATCCAATGCCAAAACACGTCCCAATTTCGCCAAAGTATCGGAGCAAACCTCTCTCCTGCAAGAACCAAAAACAATCTCGTTCCAAGTAACATCAGCCCCATCATCGGTTAACCTTTTGTTTCTCGATATAGGCACCTGAACCCCAACAAAATGAACGACCCTGCCATCCTCCTTGCTAAAAACAGGGCTCATCTGAAACAACATCCAAAAGGGTGTCCCATCTTTCCTATAATTCAACAAATTAACCTGCATCGCTCTCTCCTCTCGAATTGCCTCCCGAATTTCCATAACTGTTTTTCTATTCGTCTTGGGACCTTGAAACATCCTGCCGTTGTTCCCGATGACTTGGTCCCTCGAAAAACCCGACATTTTAAGGAACCAAGGGCTTGCAAACACTATAGGGTGACCCGAAATGGTGGGGTCAGTGATGATGAAATTGTGAGGCAATTCCTCGAGAGCTTCTCGGACCCAGAGAGAGTATCTGCTGTTGAGGGATTGTTCGATTAGAGCCAATTGTGATTCCATATTGATTGTTGAGACTTGAAAATCTTCTTCTGTATCCACCGTGGTTTACCAATTAACCCCAATCCCATGTGGGATTTTTGTTAGGATTTTGGAATCCAAGCAGATAAAGACAGGATAAAGAGTTCGATCAGTAGAACCAAGTTAAAGCTAAGCAAACGTTTGTCTGTGTCTTTCTTGTGAGATTTCCGTAGCAGAAGCGACGGAAATGAAGAGCAAGCAAATAGTGGGGGTGGTCTTGTTGTCGCTGTCGTTGTCTGGGGCAGAGAGATGGAAAATATCGGGAATTTATGGTAATTGAATGAAGGAAGATTAGCGAGAGATGCACATCAATCGTTGTTAATCGAAAAATCTGTATATGTGATGATCATAAAGAGAAGCTGCCGTGAAGCAGCAACACATAAATTTTCTCGAATTTAACAAACTTCACCGGCTTGGCTTTGGATAGGGTTGGTCCCAAGTTTGACCTTTTTGTGTCAATTTCATACTCAAGACAAATTTTGATTTCTTTATTAGGCAATTCTGTTACAATTTTTTAAATAGAAAATGTTATGTTACCTATAAAATGATTTTATTTTGCACCAATATATATATATATATATATATATATATATATAATTTGGATAGAATTCATGACTAATTATGGATTGAAAGACTTTAGTTAAGAATTTCTAACTTTTGAAAGACAAAAATCAATACAAAATTTGTTTGTGGATGAAATTGAAATTACCTATATATATCATTTTGGAACATAACTTCTACATTTGTTTGTTTGCTACAATAAGTATGTGTAAGAACAGAAATAAGCAACATATAAAAGGGGTATTCTATACTTACTAAATATGTCTAATTAGATATCAAAACGGGTATTAGTACAAACAAAAACAAACTCATTAATTTATCCTCAAGCGTGGGTATACATTTCATACCCTCCTAATACTCGATAATTAAAAAAATCTTTTGACGTGTAGGAACCTAATGGAAAAGATTTTTAAAATAGGGACTGAACTTTTTTTTTCCCTAAAAATTGAGGTAAAAAAAATCTAATTGAGAACTTAGGTGTAAGAGCATAATAAATACAAATGACCAAATAACACTTTTCCAAAAATAAGAATTAAAAAAGTAATTTAGCAAAAAATAATTTCTAGACGGTACTAAAGCAAGAGAAAAAATTATATATCTATTTGAAAGAGAAAGATAAAAGCATAAAAAAAAATAATAAAGAAGAGAAAATTACAAAAATTAAGTAAATATGAAAAAAAAATCATTTTTTTATGAGTTTATGTATTTTTTTTATATATATACCTACCTCTTCTTTTCAAATACATTTATAAAATAATTAGTAAATATTTCAATAGTAGCTCTTTTATAATTATAAAATTTCTCCTAAAGTAGCATGTAAGGGTGGGGCATGTTTTGGCATAGGTTGATTTAACCAGGCATTGGGCTGTTGATGACTGGCTGAATCGGCATGCGATCCTTGTCTACGCGTCTTGATAGAGGAAAGCATCTAATCTTAAATGGGAGATGCCGCTGCTCAACACTGACATGCAAGTTGACATGGGGAAAGTTTTTGTCCTTTTAAGCCTCCAACTGTAAATTTGTATTACATAATAAATGAATTATTTAATAGCTGGTCCAGAATTGGAGGAAACCTTTTATACATAAATTATAGGTTTGAGATAAATAACGCATCTTTGTCAGCGTTATTGGCAGCACGTAGGCCTGGCTCCAGAGACAGAGAAAGAGACCAAACTCATTCTTTAATCTGTGGGAAATCTGCGGTGTACTTGTGGAAATATTTTTCAAAATATATTTAGACTATCTTTTTAGATAATTGTTTTTATCTTATGTATTTTGATTGGAATTAATTTAATTATTTAGATCTGAGATATTTTAGAAAAAAACATATTCGGACTGAATTTAAAACTAATTTATATTATAAAAGATAAACATAGATTTACAAAAAGAATTTCACCGCATTACGAAGGATAAGGATCGTCTAACGTGTGGAGATGCCTTGGGCTTTGTGGGGGCTTGAAGGATAAGTTTGCGTGATTTGATCATATATATATATATATATATATATATATAGGAGTATCACAAAAACACTTTCTAGGGGTCGCTCTCCCAATTTCTAGTTGCATATCGTATAGGCTTGTAGATAACGATAGGCCAGATAGTGTATAGGCTGGAAAAAGCCTGCATCTTCCATGTCAGACATCTTACTGCCTCAGTTATCGAATTGCGCAGGCTTCAACTTTGGCAATCCCCCTTTATTTGGCTCTAGTTTTTCAATAGCTATCCATATTTAACCCTCCTTCGTAGTAAATTCAGTGGATTATGACATGAGAGATCAATTGAGTAAGTTATGACTTAGTCCCACTTTAAAAAAAAAAAAAAAATTAATAACTTGTCAATTTTTTTACTTATAAATAATATGTTTTATATTTTCATATAATTTCTATTATATAGAGATAGATATACATTTATTTTGTTATTTATTTATTTATATTTATGAAAAAAATATATATATTTATTTTAATATTATATCTAATAAAAAACTCTAGAAGAACGAGTATATTATTACTTGAATAGATAAATTTTAAAAACTCTAGAATGACGAATATATTATTACTTTAAGAGATAAATTTTGAAGGCTCTAGAAGAGAAAATATGTTATTACTTGAAGAGATAAATTTTGAAAGTTTTGGAAAGGTAAATATATTATTATCGAAAGGAAAATTTTTTTATTATAAATAATGTATTATTCTCTCCAAAGTCTCATAAAAATTTATTGAGTTTCAAAAAAATTTGTCTAAATGGATATCATATCGAGAAAATAAATGTTGAAAATATTGGATACTTATATATTACAATAATTATATCGGGTAGAAAATATGTATTAGAGTAATTATCTGCTATCTCTTCTAGTCTTTATTACAAACACTTGAGTGGTTGAAACAAATGCTATAGTAAATCAAAAGTTTATTAATATAAATATTTTTATTATATGGCATGAGTGGTTGGGCTATCCTTGGTCTTTCATCATACGAAAAATTATTGAAAATTCATATGGATATCTATTGAAGAGCCGGAAGATTCTTCAATTTAATAAATTTTCATGCTTTGTATTTTCTCAAGGCAAATTAATTATTAAGCCATCATCAAGTAAAATTGAGATTGAACATCATGTATTTTTAAAACGTATTCAAGGTGATATATATGGATCAATTCATCCACTATATGAATCATTTAGATATCTTATGGTTTTAATAGATGCATCTATAAGATGGTTACATATGTATTTATTATCTACTCGAAACTTGTTATTTTCGAGGTCGTTAGCTCAAATAATTCGATTACGAGCATAATTTTTAAACTATTCCACTAAAATAATTCACCTTAATAATGATAGTGACTTTATCTCTCAAGCATTAAATAATTATTGATTGGCTATTAGAATAAAAGTTGAATAATTTGTTGCTCATGTTCATACTCAAAAGGGTTTTGTAGAATAATTTATCAAAAGACTCAAATTGATAGCTAAATCATTACTTATCAAAACAAAACTCTACGATTATATTTGGGGATGTAATCTTATATGCGGTAACATTTATTCACATCGGATGCATAAGTTATCGAAATTCTCCCTCATTCAATTGGTTTTCGATCATAGAAAAAATATTTTTCATCTAAGAATTTTGGTTGTGTGGTATATATATTTATTGCTCCTTCACAACGAACTAAAATAGGGCCTCAAAGAAGATTAAAAATATATGTTGGATATGAATTCCCTTCAATAATTAAATATCTTGAACCATTAATATGGGATATTTTAACAACTCGATTTGTCGACTATTATTTTGATGAAACAATTTTTTCAACATTAGGAAAAGAGAATGTACTAAATAAATAGTTAAAAATATTGAAAAAAGATCTATCTTTACATCATCTTTATCTTCGCACAAAATAATGTAAAATAGAAGTTCAAAAGATAATTGATTTATAAAATTTTGCAAACCAATTGTCGGATGCATTCTTAGAAAAAAAAGTAACTAAAATGATTATCCTTACTAAAAATGCTCCTATTAAAATTAACATCTTAGAAGGATAATCTATTAATTTTATAACACATGAATCTAAAGCACACCTAAAGCGTGAAAGATTAATTGGTTCTAAAAACAAAAATTCTTGAATGAAAAAGGAAAATAATTAAGATAAAAGAAGCGAGATATTGACAAAATGGTCTAAGAAATTTTTAATAGGCTTCTAAAAAAGTCCAAATGCTTGAAAAAAATTAAGAGACTTCGATAGATTGTGTCAATATAGGGAGAAAATGGAACCAAAAAGAAATATTTATTGATAATATTTTTACATATAATATTATAATTGATATTTTTGAATGAAAGTAAGGATCTTGAGCTTAAATCTATTGAGGAATATCAACATAGAGATGATTGACTTAAATAAAAAGAATAATCCATACATAATTATGTTCTCTTACAAAATGAGAAGTTTTTGAACTCATGTTCAAAACACTTGAAGATATTAAATTAGTAGAATATAAATAGGTATTTATATGAAAAATAATAAAAAAGATGAGATAGTGAGATACAAAGTAAGACTTGTAGCATAAGAGGTTTTGTTGAGACTCGATATCAACTATGAGGAGACATATTCTCTTACAATATATGCAATTATATTTTGTTATCTCATTAGCTTGACAAAATATATGAATACATTTAATGAATGTGATCATAATTTATTTATTCACTCAAAATGATATTTAGACGAAAGTCCTAAAATGACTTAAGATGCACTAAGCACGTAATACACATTTTTGAAAAATAAATTTCATTAAATTATAGAGATCTCTATCAAGATTTTTTATTTTTTTTATTTTAGTTTTTAGTTTTTTAATCTTCTAAAGAGATAATCATGATGACTTCAAGTCTCTTACCTATCTCATATGAGATTCTCATAGACTATACCAAATGGGTTCTTATGGCGAGTCACGTTTAGTGATATGTTCTCTAACATTATTCACCTATGTGCTTGCTTTGACATCACCATACTTATATGTGTGAAATCTTCTACTGCTATCTTATAGTAATAGCATAGTAATTATAAGTCTTATCACATATTGTTAATGTCTAATCTTAACAATGCTATGACTAAGGATATTTAATGATATCATAGGTGTATTGATGTTTGTGTCATATCTATTAATCAATCATCAAGGTAATGTATACCATATATACTTTTGTCTAATTCTATCAAATTATAAATAATAAGAATTAATAGAAAATCTTTTTTATTAATATTAAAAATGCAATGATACAATATTTCAAATCATCAAAGCGAGGTTGGATCTTGAGCACCTACACTAACAATAAAGATAATATTTCGTCAAGTTTCTCAAGTGTAAAGGACTTTTCATTGGCGAGAGGGTAATTTACAAATGTCTCATTTTAAGTGGTTATGAATACCTTTACTTGAGTTACATTTATAGGAATGGTCTAGAGCTTGAGAATACAAGGCGACTATATATGAGCCTTTTTAGGTTCTTTTTTGAATCCATATAAACAAATGGTGACTTTTTCTTCTTCATTTTATTGATCGGTCTCTAAAATCAAGGACGAGTCTCCCTAGTAGCTATTGCTTCCTCCATTCTAATTTGGCTTTCGACCAATTTTTTTACTTAGTATAGATTCGAGTGGAGAAGATAGTAGATTTCTTCCATAAACTAGTTCACTAACTCCTTAAATGAAGGCCTCTATGGCTACCGATTCTTGTAAGTCATCCATTTTTAGCATCTCTTTATAGAATTGAGAGAGATACGCTCATGCGTTCTCTTTTTTTACAACGTAATGGAGAAAAAATCAACCGAACTTCTTTCCATCGGGATGTTTATAAAGAATCAACCTATTAACTTAAAACTAAGGTCCTTAAAGCTTAAGATGGACTCGGGATCTAAACTATTATGTCATTTTTTGGTGGTACCTCGGAAGATAGTGGAAAGCATTTTACATATGGTATATGTCCTATGCAACACAAGCTTGATGGTTCCTTCATATTTTGCATGTGCTATCTTAGATCGATAAACCATCGTACATATCTAAATTCATCTTATTAGGGAGGAACTTTTTGAAGAGTTTGATGTTAAGGATATACGAAGCCAAAGGTGATACCTAGAGTTTATGCTCATTGTGGTCGGTACATGAGCGAGAAAAGAATTTAGGCTTTTTTATATGTAATGGAACTTGAGCTCTAGGTTTACATATGATGTTTTTGATGAGGAAGAGCATTGATGTGATTTTCTCGGTATCCTTTGACATTCCGTATGTTTCCACAACATTTGTAGCAATGCTCGGATCTTTCTTCTTTCTCCCTTTCCCTACAACACTCTTCGATTACTAGTTCCTTTTTTATACGATGTGTATGGTTTCTCTAAGGTTCTAGAAATACAAAAAAAATCTCATTTCCCACTTTTAGCATTAGCATGCCTTTCTATGCCTCATTGAGCATGCATGAGGCTCGTCAATTCATGAGGAGAGAGGATACAACCTCTTTTACACAAGGTACACTACATGGTGGTATTAGAGTATCCGAAGGTAAATGACGTACATATGTTTTTTATGATGAGCCAAGCACTTTGATTTGCTAAAAATGCCTCCATGAGATTTTGAACAAAATGTTATAATTGGATGACATCCATAAGTTAGATGATGGAACTAGTAAAGTCTTAAGGGGGTAGTATGTTTATGAACTTTTGTTTGTTCTACTATGCATGAACCTAAATACACTTTAGAGAGAAAAATTAGAGATATAAAAAAGTCTAACTAGCTTTTTGCTTAAATCCTTACAAACAACGAACAACGGATGAGTCGTCGATCGACACTTTCAATAAATTTAGGATACGTGGCTTATGCTTGCGGTGAAGGTTGTTTAACAATTATGGAATGTTAAGGAAGTTCTATTTGCATCGTACTTGTAAAACAAGTCTTTTAGATTGGGTGAAGGATCCTCCGATGTTTAAATTAGTAGTCGAAAGGTGACGAATTAGCCTAAAGAGGCTCGTTTTTGCTTGTATGTATTATTTTGTGTATTATTTATAGAAAATAAGGAGTTGCACAAGATAAATCTATTAGCGTGTTTTTAGAACTTGTTTGGAGTTCCTTATGAATGTGTGAATTGGAACCAACACTTTTTTTTCTTCTTATGAAAGTTTTTGCTCTTATATAAGCAGTATGAAGGCGAACTTGCATGGTAGAAAAGGTCATTAAATATCTTTTTTTTTTTTTAGTTAGTGTGAGAGTTGATAAGTGTTGGTGTTATGTTGTCATTGTTTTGTTTGTGCGACAATGTTAGTGTGATCATGATAAATGATGATCCGATTGATATCATTATTGAAGATTGTTTATTAAATATTTTATCTTTAGGTAATAGTGGAAGAGTATAACATCATCTTCTTTTAGACTAGAGCGCCTTAGATAGGAAAATCTCAAAGTCCTTATTGGGATAGCAGCCTTTCTTAATAGAAGTTAGCATCCTTTAGTGAATTCTAGGCTCATTTATGGTTAAGTTTCTCTTGTGTGAGATATAGGACTTTAGTTGAGTTTGAGAGGTTTTGAAATTACGAGATCATAGGTAGTTTTGAAATTACAAGTTAATGAGTGCTTTTCGTTGAGTTGTACTTAGGAAATGCTCCTTATTAATTATGATTAATTTTTCTTATGTTATGCTTATAACCGAGATAAAGGTATACTAATATCATTATTAAATGCTTATTTCGATGAAAAATTACTCTCATTTCTCATTATTAATTGCGTGAAATGTCTTTATTGTTAGATTTAACTAGAATATGATCATTCTTCAACTCTTAACATTTTTTAGATGTGGTTTTTATATTTATATTATTTATTTATTTATTATGCTCATTCCTTCGCTCTTTTTTCACTTAGAATTGGATCCCTCTTTTGCTAATACTTTTTTTTTTATCCTTTTAGGTATTTTGGATCCAAAAACTTAAACTAATCTTTCGCTATTCCGTCGGACACACAAGACATGAACAACTACTCGGATAGTTTGTTGCATACATAAAAATTTGAACTCAAGATCATTTGTTTAAACGACTTGACTTGAACCCCTTTCACTCAAGTCAACCCTCTTGGATTACTTTAAATTTTTTAAGATGCTTGATAATATATATATATATATATATATATATATATATATATATTATGGAGGAATTCATTCTTAACAAATCAAAAATCTAGAAATGAACTTCAAAAAAATAAAACCATATTTACAAGATGTCAGCAGTAGAGGAAATATACAATTAACGTTATATAAACATTTTTCTTACTTTTTTATATTGATTCATAAATCTTTTCTTAATTTAAATCGGTAAAGTGAGTGAGATAGTGTACCAAACTCAAAATAGTAAGTAAAAAAAAAAAAAAAAATCACAAGGAAATAGAGATATCCTCGTCGTGGAAAACACGTTGGGCCGAAAAGGCAGGCATTTGCTAGAAGATTGTAGCGGGGAAGACATGCCCTCAAGTAGACGAAGGAGAGTTGCAAGTTGCAACTCGTATATGAAGCCGGCCCAAAAAAAAAAAAAAAAAAAAAAAAAGAGCCAGACATCTTTATTATTTTGGAATGCAATTTTTTTTTTTTTTAATCAGAGATTCGATAAGTGCTTAGCGTGCCAATAGAAAAGCTATTAAAATAATAACATATTGACCTACACGTCTGTTTCAATCCTTTGCTCTTCAATTTACTTTCCATCAAGAACTTGCTATTATTCTAAGAATGATTAGCTGTTTGATGCTTACATCAAAGACCATTCTAATTGTTAAGATTGATTTTACTAACTCAAATTGGTTTTATATATACATAAAACAGGCTTATGGCCCTGCATTCTCTTTAATGATCAAACTCACTTTTCCCCAGCTTGCAGTGGCATGTTTTTGTAGTTTTAGATTCAACTTGTGTAAGATGGGAAGGAAACCTTGTTGTGATAAAGTAGGATTGAAGAGAGGAGCATGGAGCATTGAAGAAGATCGAATGCTTATGAACTTCATCCACAGTAATGGAATAAAATGCTGGCGACTTGTTCCTAAACTTGCCGGTATGTGCATACACTTTTAAGGCTAAAAAACAAGACGATTTTTCCTTACATTTGATCTATACTTGTCACACACAAACACACATGTATGTATATATAACTAGCTAGAATGTAATCGAAATGAACTGAGAAGTACGTACAAATCTAGGGTTGCTGAGGTGTGGGAAGAGTTGCAGATTAAGGTGGATGAATTATTTGAGGCCTGATCTCAAGAGGGGTGCATTTTCAGAAGCCGAAGAAGATCAACTAGTTGACCTCCATTCACGTTTGGGCAACAGGTACTGCATATATATAATACTTGATTTCTATTATTTTTCGGTTTTTGCTTTTCCAGTGAGTTATGATCAAGAGATATTAATTTACGTTCTCTATAAGCATAGGTGGTCCAAGATTGCTGCACATTTCCCAGGCCGTACAGACAATGAGATCAAGAACCACTGGAACACAAGAATTAAAAGAAAACTAAAGTTCCTTGGTCTAGACCCTGAAGGCCACAAGCCGCCGATTGAGCCAGCTGAGGATTGTGATGCAAAAGAAAACCCATTTGCAGCCATGAAAGATGTGGTTGGCGACATTAATGTAGAGCTGAAATTGCTAGAAAATCCTGTCTCAAAGGAAGAAACTAGGATTGATCACCACCATTCTTGCTCAGATCAAAATACCAGTAGCAAAGCTCTGAGAGAAGACTCCGATTCTGGGTGGTCAAGTTTTCCCTCGCACACTGATCTGCAATCTGATTCATGCTTATCAAGATCGATGGAAGAATCTGTCTTACAAGAAAATTCTTTTGATTCCTACTGGAATATTGATAATAATGTGGATTCTTTCCTCTCGTGGGATGGCCTCAACTTTAATAATCTGGAAGAGATATTTCTTTTTGACAATATTCATCAATGAGGTTGTGGATTAATGTACATTATTTTACCCTTCGTATGTCATTGGCATGCATGTATGTCTAGCTAACAAGCATTTGAATGTATTTCTTCAATTCCAATTCATTCACCATGGATATGATTTATATACACCTCCATTGTATATTAAATCCTGTAATTTTCTTCTCGAATAAGATTAATGTTATCTTTAATATAGAATAAAAATATTTAGATAAAAGAAAAAAAAACATAATGGGTTAATTTTGGTCTCATCTTGCACATGGGGTAAATAAGTTCAAATATTTTTAACTTTAAATGACCCTGTCACCTCTTGATATATACCATTTTTTTTTTAAAAAAAAAAAACTACACTTGAGCTATAAAATAGAAAGTATTGAACCTATGATTAATCATCTATTTAAAGTCAACTAATCCAATATCAAATAATAGTACTACATAAGAATAGAGATTAATATAAAGAGATATACTGTCTAATTTTAGTACTTAAAATGTAATAAATAAAATTTATCAAAAAAAATTAATTTCAATTAAAATATAAAATAATCTGAAAAATACTTTTTATCATCTAATAAAATAAAAAATAAAAAACTCTCGCATTAAAGCGGAAAGTTTAATCCGAGTCTGTCCTTAGAGAATACAAACAAAAGAAGTTACGTGTAAATATCATTTTAAAAAAAGGGGTTAGGTTATCACTTTTTTGGGTAGACAATAGACAAAGGGAAAGGGGTTAAGTTGTCACTTCATTAATTTATAAACAAAGCACAACATGTGTTGGTTCCGCGTCACTTATTTCTTGTCAATTGCAAATGACAAGTCGCTGCTTCTCCAAAACCTCAAGACAAGTCGTCCACTCATAATTCTACCACAACAGGCAGCCTGGTCCAACGAATGGCCCAATTATGTCAAATATTTGGCCCATTCATTGTCTAGGCATACAATACTTTCTGGAGAAATCCAGAGGAGTGCCAAAATTCTTGCTGCTTCCAATACCTTACCATCTCCTTATCAGAAAAAGGCTCTCCAGAAATTTCTACTCTTCGCTTTAAAATGACTCCAATCTCATCTGCCTTTCCACCGATAAAATTCCTCAAAAGATTCGAGCTTTTTTGTTTTGCCCATCTTGATTTCTTGACATTGACGACCAATTGAGTATTGAATCAATAGCTGTGTGTCTTGAGCAACAAACACCAACAGATCAGAATGTCTCAAGCACTGTCAAATGTAAGCCTCTCTGTTCCTCTGTCATCAAAAAGAGCTTCTTCAAGAATCCCTTATGGCATACCACTTAGCTACACCCACAAACGCAAGAGCAGCAATAAAATGAATGTCGTTGCAGCACAGAGCAAAGACAATCTTGACCACTTGCAGAGAGCCATCAAGAATCCCCAACAATCCCAGCATAAGAAAAGAGTAGCCCCTGCAGCACCGATAGGTAATTAATTAATCATAATGAAATCTCAAATAATAGTCGAACTAGAAGGTAAGAAACCTTGAGACACTTACTTACTGAATTTGTTGGTTTCTTTCTTGGCAGGGTTATGGGACAGGTTTCCTAATGCGAGAACAGTGCAGCAGATGATGGAGACAATGGAGAGTATGGTGGAGGACCCATTTGTCTATTCAGGTGGATGGCCATTTCCATTACCTGTGGAGGGAAGTGGGTACAGCAGAGGAAGAACACCATGGGAAATTAAAGAGGAAGAGAACGAGTACAAAATGAGGTTTGACATGCCAGGAATGACCAAAGAAGATGTGAAAGTTTGGGTCGAGGAGAAGATGCTGGTGGTTAAGGCTGAGAAGGTGGCCAAGAAGAAGGTGAATGGTGAAGAGAATGCAGAAGAAGAGGAGGGAGAGTGGTCTGCTAAGAGCTATGGTAGGTATAGCAGTCGAATTGCCTTGCCAGAGAATATTCAATTTGAGAAGATTAGAGCTGAAGTTAAAGATGGGGTTTTGTATATAACTATCCCTAAAGCTAGTGCCACTGCCAAGATACTTGATATTAATGTTCAGTAATTTCTTATTGATTATGTTTTAAGTTTTGTGGATGTAAATTGAGAAAAGTTGGAAAAACTGCTACGTTTTCTCTTTTTGCTCTGGAAATGCTAATAATCCCTTGGATGCTGTAAACGTTATTGCAATGATGATGATGATGTTGGATTTGGATTCAGGGTCTCGTGTTAGGTTAGGTTTTATCCTTACAAGTGATCTAATAAAGCTCATGAACTGTTTTAAGTCTTCTATGTTGGAATATTGGTATTATGAGGGCCGACGGAATTGGGTTCTGTTCTGCCGGACTTCTTGTGATCAGCCTCGGACTCTCCTTGTTCCTCAGAGTTTTTCAATGAGACCTAATAAATCTCGCTTTACCTTCACAACATTAGCAAAGAAATCAACCATCATTTTGCTTGTTCCGTTCATCTTTGCTTTCCATTTTACCTACAACTATACAATTTTCAGATTAATTCATTTAAGGCTCTGACAAGAAACGACGTAGTAGTTTATGGATTATTCTATTTTTAATTTAAGGTGAACCTTAATTTGCATTTTAAAATTTATGAATTATCTCAATACTATTTTAAATTAAATGGAATGAAAAACAATTTGAGAATAAATGAAATACATGGGAATTAATAACAATAAATTAAACTTTTGAGACAGACGAAAAGTAAATTCAAATCTGTCATGTAATTTATTTGGTTGAAGTTAATGACTTTCTCCTTCGATAATTGTATGACTTAGATGGGTTACAACGTTTGGCTAACCCAAAAAAAAAAAAAAAAAAAAAAAAACGAACACCATAATAAGGAAACCAAATCCTTGTTGACAAATTTAGGAAATTTCATTAATCAGTTCAATACGCATCTTCATGCCTTTTTATAATTTTGGACCTCTAACATCTACTTTTCATATTGAGAAATTGAAGAAATGTTATAAATCCCCTTCTTTTTTTCTTTTTTTTTCTTTTTGCGGAAAAGAAAATCCCACACAGTGATGGCCGTTGTGGAAATGATTATTTAGGGAAAAAATAAATAAAGAGTTTATAATATCAGCCTTGACTCGTGCAGCTGTCAGCAATAATAATTAATTATTGTCAAAAGCCGTTGCTAAATCGTTATTACAAGACTGGATTTGTCTGCCTCCTTTCCTTTCCTTTCCTTTGGCTAAAATTCAAACTAAGGGACCAAATCTTAAAAAAAGAATTAAAAGAGGAAGAGAAATAAAAGTAGACGTTAGGAGTAGGGCCCACCTCATAATTCAGATGTATCTAATTGTTAGGAATAGAAATCTATCAATCAAATCAAAAATTCAGACACACGAAAAGCGGAAAAAGATTCTGTCTTTCTTTTTCTTTATTAAAAAATCAGTGAAAGAAAGGCAACCCAACAACAACGTCTCTCGCTCGCTCGCTCGCTCACTCAACACTGGAAAAAAAGTTTCCTTTCTCTGCCGAACTGAGTTGCCTCTTATTGACTGCAAGACATGAAATGAGATGGACCCATTTGAGCCTGGAGTCTGATTTTCAGATTTAATAAGGGAGAGCAGAGACCAGAGAGACTCTGCCATAAACTAAACTAAACTAAGCCAAGCTCTAGGAACCTACAGTCGGTAGAGAAAAAGGGTTTTGATAATTTTTAAAGAAAAGAGAAGATTCACTTTCTTTATATAGATAGACAAAGGGAACATGGGAGAATCAGCTTGTCTTTTGAGATCTTTTTCTCATCCATCTAGTGCTTCTAGAGAAGCCAATGAGGTTAGTTAGTCCTTCAAACTTTGTTGTTATATTTTTTCATTTCTTGTCTTATGATGTTCTGATGTTTGAAGTTTTTTTTTTTTTTTTTTTAAGTAAACTGCTGTGGGTTCTGATTCAATTGTTGCCAGTGTGCTTTTGATATTGAGACATCTTGAAAAAATGATGACTACTGGGGTTTTTGGGGAAACGGAAAAAACTGCTGTTGTGAGATTCTGTTGCTCATTTCCCTTTGCTTTCTGGGTAACCAAACAGACCATAATGCTTTGAGGATTCACTTCACTCATTTTTCTTTAATTAATTACTGGTGTTCTTAATTATGCTCGATGCTTTGGTCTCTTGAAAGGAAAGTAACTTAAACTGTCTCTTTTATTTTCTTTAACTGCTAGCAATATTTTCCGGAAACTTGCATATATTGGATTAAATGCGCAGCCTTGATTCGCTTTTGTTAAATCTCATTTTCGGGCATTTTCATATTGATGCTGCCATTTTTTATTGCCTTTTTTCTTTGTTATAACTTCTTTGAGACTTGAGTATAGTTTATTTGGCATTCATATCTTCAAGATTATGGCTCCTTTTGTTTTCAGTTAATAAACAAGAAACCGAGTCTCTGGAGTTTCGTTGCATTTATGTGTTAATTTTTTTATGGATATCATCAGTTTGGAATGGATAAATATTGAGTTGACGTCAAAGAAATCACTGAGCAAAAATGGAAAGTATTTTTGAGTTTCAGGGTAATCCCATTCGTGCCCTCACCGAATCAATCTCATTCGGGAGATTTATGTCAGAATCTTTGGCTTGGGAAAAGTGGTCAACCTTTAGTCACAATCGCTACTTAGAAGAAGTTGAGCAATTTTCCAAGCCAGGTTCCGTTGCCCAGAAGAAAGCATATTTTGAGGCTCATTACAAGAAGAGGGCTGCCATGAAAGCAGCAGCCTTGCTTGAGCAAGCAAACACTGCATCTAACAGCGCTTCTGAAGTAGAAGCTGCAGACGAGGCTCCCAGCACCTCTCGTGTTAATTTGGAATTTTCCAAAGCAACCAATGATATGATCATCAATGAACAAGATGAGGGGGTATTGATGCTAACCTACTTCATTCTTCTGCTGCAACTGCATTTTATGCTGATGGTCAAGTGGATAGTTTACAAAATGCAAAGGTGGAAGGAGATGAAGAGAAAGGAGAAAAAAATGTTGAGGTGGAAAACTCTATTCAGTTGGCAAATTCAAAACAGATTGAAAATGCTGAAGAGTGTGACATTACTGTGGCCATGCCACAAGAGAAAATGCCCGAAAAGGTAAGTTGTCATTCCAATCAGGAAACTGCTGAAAAAGAGAATGTAGCTTTACCAAATAATAAAAGGCAAACGAGTTCTTCATCAAAATCATCAAGTCAGAGTAGAGCATCGAATCTGCCAAAGTCTTCTGCCAAAATGTCAAGTTCCACAAGACTAAGAGCTGAAACTAATGCTACTCCAAACAGTAAGAAGTCTGCCGGAGAACTGGTGGATAAAAAGAGAGTAACTCCAAAATCTATCTATATGTCAATCAATTTTGCTTCTAGTTTGCAAGACAGCAGCAATAAAAGTTCTCACAGAGTATCTAAAGACAGATCCACTATTCCAGATAATCCAACCAGGGTATCTCCATTCCTCATATTATTATCATTTAATATTAAATTCTTAAATCATTTTATGCAGTACAGACACTCATGTGTGCACACACTTCAGTTATTACTCACGCCAGTAAGAATTTAGAACTCAGCCAAGATGAATTATATGTCTAAACTGTAGGGATCTGTCCATGGTGTATCAAAGCTTCTTCCTTCAATATTTCGGCATTCACAAGATAGAAGGTATTTGTCTCTACAAACACTAGCAGTTGATCCTTTCTAACTGTTATCATTGACGTAGTTTATCCTTGCAGAACTAATTCAGAGCTCAACAAGTCAGTTTCAGGAAAAATTACAGTGGGTGGAATATCCGAGACCCTCTCTTCAGAGTAAGGACTTCGCTCCTGCATTATCTGGATGGTTCTTTTTGCCTGTACCATATTACTCAATGCCACAATCACATGTTTGCTTCTACGGGACTAGTTAGTATAACACACTGAGTGCCTCATTCATAGTCATGTATATAGCTGAAAAGCATCAAATTAACTTTTAAGTTTGTAGCAGTCTTGCATTCTTCATCTTGATAGCACATTATCCTATGTTCAACATTATCCTGAACATATAGTATTACAGCTCCTCGAAATCTTCAAGTGCAAAAGGAAGCAAATCTCGACCTCCACTTATATCCTCTCCATTTAGCTTTAGAAGTGAAGAAAGAGCCGCAATACGAAAAGAGGCAAGATTAATTTCCTGAGTTTTTTTCATTTATTCCTTACTTGCAATAGTATCATGGTCTGATATCTCGTTTTTACTGGCTATGCTAGTTCTTTCAGAAGCTAGGAGAGAAAAACAATGCAAAGGAGGGCACAGAACAAAAGCATCTGCAAGCAAGACCTAAGGTGTCTCACATAACCTTACTGTAGTGTTTGTTGGTAGTATATTAAGATGAGTTTCCTTTAATCTACTCAACGATTCCAACCACAATTTATTTTCTGATTACAACCGTTGACTTGCAGTTTTATCCTTGTTTCTTGATAAAGCCATTTTCAAAAAGTTATATTTTCCATTAATGTTGTGCAGGAGAAGGCAGAGTATGACCTTAAGAAACTAAGGCAGAGTGCTGTCTTCAGAGGTAAAGCAAGTCATGACTTGCATCGGGGACTACAGTCTCCAAACAATTCAATGAAGAAGGTTCGTCTTGTATTTATATTCATGACTTCTCTATGGAATGATGTTGACTTCACAGTGAATGGGGCGCGTATCAAGCTGCTAAAATTTGCTGTATTAGTAATTTAGAACTGTTGGCATAAGTTTAACATTTAGAAAAACCTAATACTACAAATTTGGAAATCGAACTTGCTAAGTATGCATACTTCAGAAGTTCAATCATTGGAAATTTGAACTTGCTATGTTGGCCTACTTTAGAAGTTCCTTCGTGATCTGATCCTTCCTGTGTTCCTATGCATTTTTTTTTTTTTTGTTTTACAGATCTATCATGTTTTGCAGATCCCGTTGACACGACCTCGATCGCCGAAACTTGGAAGGAAATCAACCCCCAATGTGACACGGGAAGCAAGTCTTCAACTTCATCAAAGACCTTCAGTTAATGCCGAAAACTCCAAGGCTGTTATACAGAAAAGTAACCATAGCTCAACTCGCTCAGTCACACTGCTACCAAAGAAGAAAGCACATGAGAATGCTTCTCCAAATATCCAGCGGTGAGCTCCCAAAATGAGGGTGCTTCCTATGAGCATCTGCTACTGTGTTTCTTTTGAAGAATTGATCAACCCAGCTAGTGACTGCGCAGATTTACACTTCTAATTTCACACTACACAAGGGACGTAATCCGTTGATGGCAACAGAATTTAGATCAGAGGGATATTGATGGGAGTTTACATTTTTGTTGAGGGCTGCTCTCAAGTAGCATTTTATAGCAGTCCTTTTTTCTGTTTCTTTGTGGACGTGAATATAGTTTGGGCACTATGTTGTAAGTTATAGGTTTGGCAATAGAATAGAAGGCCTTGTTCGTTCCTTCCATGTTGATAGGTTGGCAATATTGCTCGATGTCCTGCTATATAAAACTAGCACTATAAAATCTGCGTATATTCTTATTTATCAGCTTTGCATCACTGCGTTGCCTGGTTCAATAAATCTAAATTCTGATAGAAACTGGCTTTGTTACTCGCCCTCTTGCCTTTTCGACAACTTTTATTTCTTATTTTTTGTTCATTTCTTTTGTAATAAACACAATACAAATTAAAAACCTACATCGACAGACCAGTACATTTACTGCACGAACAAAGTCCCCAAGAATAGTATAGCTAAGTAATGCAGTTAATTTTAGTTGGAGGCCGAAGAAGTGAGTGCTACTACCGCCGAAGGATTGGAACTTTGAGTTCTGCAGTGCTGTAAATGGAGTTAGCTTTACATTAATCAAGCATAGAACGGACACAGCCATTCCAGTTAAAGCATCAATTCGATGTGCGAAGATCAGATTTCAACTCCCAGCAGCTAATTGCAGCATACGGCACAGAGTAATGCAGGTACCAGTTGAGACAGACATGAAAGGGAAGCTTATTATGCTTAATGTTTGTCATCACTCCTATTATACATGTTTTCAACATCCAAGACCAGATGGAAAAGATAATATCCCAACCCAGAGTTGAAGAATCTACTATATTGGTACAGAAAAAGAAAAGGCAAGTGATCCTTCATCATTGAACATGAGTGGAAGGGAGAGGAAGATCATGCTATAAACAAGCTTTGATCTATTAGAGAATATTCTGTTGGATCATAGAACTCATAGTCAAACCTCAGCCCATCATTAAAGTTTATTGGTACGTCTGTGATAAGACCTGGGTCAAAGTATTCCGGAATCTCTATGTTCTGGAATTCAAGATTCATATATGAATCACCAGAAAGCAAACATACTTGCAAGTCCTCATCCAAAGTAGCGAACGACGGCATTCCCAAATTCATGTTCTTTCTTGAAGATTCCAAGTCTGCAATGGAATTCATATTCAAGCCTTGATTTTCCGTACTTGATGTGCTTTTGGAAATGGACTCAACAGCTTGATGATTTACCATATTGGTCTTTGTTTGAAGAGGACTAGAGTCAACTGCACTAGCTGTTGAACTTACATGGCTAGCATTGCTTCTGTACTCGTTATGCGAAGGCTTAATTTTGATGGGGCAACCAAATTCTCTTTCTGTCACGGAAGGTGCAGAACTCATGGCTGGAGCAGGCTGTGGATAATCAGCTCGGATAAGCTGCTTTTGACCAGGCAGTGGTAGGTGGCTGAGCCCATCATTCAAATGAAGTGGATTATGTTCTTGTTTGAGTTGAATCTCTGGAATTCCACACCAAGGATACTTTGTTGAGAAGGTAGAATCAAATGCTCCGAAGTTTACTTCTGATTGTGGAGGTGCCAGGGGATGACCAAATTCCATTTGTGAACACCTGGTTTTATGAGGATTGGGAACATCAACAGTTAAGGCTCTTTTGGGTTCTGCCACAGGCGTTGTGACAAGCCTCTTTCGGTCACCATCGTGGCTTCTGGGATCCACATTGTGGACAACTAAGCTACTGCCAGAAAATCCATAGCCCCCACTTGAAACATCATTGTTCTGCAAGTTGAGTGAATTCCGAGAGCCAAAACTTCCAGCAGAATCTCTCGAAGGTGAGTCCAACTGCTTTATCCCACCAACAGGACTTTTTAAATCGTTTTCTTTCTGCAATCTACTCAAATACAGTCGGTATTTCTGCATGAAAGAAAGCCTTTCCGATGAGGAATACTGTACTGCTCAAAAACCAAGAAAACTCATAAAAAATATTGAGTTTAAAACTGACAGAAAGATGTCAATATTCTTTCATTGATTTTCTTAACTTATACCTGCAAGTGGCTAGCAACATTTTCTCTCGTCAACCATGGCACGTTCATCAAGTCAAGTATTTTCTTGGGACCAACTTCTGCCAAACATACATTACTTGTCATTGCTCTGTAGAAGCATGACAAAGATATGGCTAAATCATTGAAAACCGCATAAAGACAATTGAAATGCTAACAAATTTTCATAAAATATATGAACATTCATAATTCCCTAAATTATTCCATAACCAAATTTCTGAAACGAAACATTGAATGAATACTTACTATCAAATCCTATCAGATTTACCGCTTTGACAAATTTCTGGTGAAGATCTACAGACCAAACCACTCTAGCTTTCTTTGTAGAAGTATTATCACCAATGTCTTTTTCGTCATGCTTGCTTTCACTATCTTTTCTTTTCTTTATGGAAGGAAGATCTTCTCCACAGAGCAAATGCCCATCCTCATATTGATCTGATCCATTTGTAGTCATTTGAAAACTTTCGATCCCTTCGAGAATTTCAATATCTCTTATCTCGTGTATTTTCTTTCTGAAAACATGCTGCCATATATTCCGGAGTTCTTTCATTCGTATAGGCTTTAAAAGATAATCACACGCTCCATGTTGAACGCCTTTCATCACCCTGCTTGTTTCTCCATCAACAGACATCACTGTAAGGTGACGAGCGCAACTGGTCAGAAGCCGAAGCAATATTCCGCACTATATAGATAGTGCATGTAATCCATGCATGTGTGTATACGCAAATAGAAAAGATTGGCATTGAAATGAAATTCCAGAGTAAAAGAAAAGAACCGACTTATGACTGGAAGATCCATCTCCAGTCCAACATGCTCTAAAAGTTTGAAACCATCCATGTCAGGCATGTAGACATCGCTAATTACAATGTCATATCCACCTTTCCTCTCACGAAGCAGGTTCAAAGCATCTCTTGCCAAACCACAAGTGGTCACTAAACAAAGCAATTCCAAATGAAAATGTGAGACACTTCACATACAGTCAAAAGCTTAGAATCTTGTTATAGAATCACATCTGGGAAAAGAGAATGCTTTCACTGAATAAGATATTATTAGAAAAGTAAGAAGAAACTAATGATGTTAAAGATCTTCAATAGGACCAGCAGAAACAAGTAAAAAATATCAATGAAAGAAGTATTCTATAGCGAATTACACCAATGAAGTATGTCCTTCTAAATAGAATGAATAAATGCCAAGGAAAATTAATGCTAGCATGTAAAATGATTAGCTGGGCTTAGTGGGTGTTTGAAACTGCGGTAGAATCGCTTTTCCTCCCATCACATTTCCATTAAGTTTTTGGTAAGGGAAAAAAAAAAAAAGGCCACAGAAGTAATTTACATGGCCAAAAATCAAAATTCTGAAATTGATGCTTATTAGGTCCGTTATGAAAGTACCTTCTTTTAATTAAATATCCTTTAAAAGTTAATAAATTTTGTACATTACATCCATATTAATATTATGTAAATCAAATCATGATTTTTTTTATTTTTTTAATCATTGTTTGAGTCTTTAACACCAAAATCACTTTAAACAACAGATAATTAAACTCTGTTTTGGCAACAACATTTACTACAATGGTAGCTACAACCAAAACCATTGACACATGAAAGCCAATAACATTGCCAAACAGACTTAGTCTATTCAATCTCATCATACTTGAGATCACTAAAGTTGAGGTTAATATCATCAGAAGATCAAAATTTAAACAAAACTGGGATGAGCTAATGCCACAACTGGAAAGAATTTCCAATTTCCATGTTGGTGCTCATTTCGGTAGGTTTGGTGATACATTAATCTCTCCATCAAGAATCCAGCATTCCTACTATTAACACTGCTAGAAGTTAGATGAAATAGCCCAAAGCAATCGAGTTACTAATCATGCTGTCTCATGAAGTAAACAAATCCCCATAACCATCATTTATACTTGTAATTTATCATCTCATGCCTAGAAGAATTAAACTCCATGGATTCAGAATCAACTTTCCGGAAGCTATTATCATTGGCTCTGTGTTTCATACTTTCATTAGTTTACATGGCTAGCAGAGTAAACATCAATAAACCTTCTAATTACTCTAATCAACTGCAAAAAGGAAAAAGAACAAATTTGGAAAGAGTAGTACAATATCATTGATGAACTTGAATATTTCTGTTGAAAAAAGCAATTTCAAAGTTCAACTCTTGAAATCAAGAGAAGCAACAAATTACAAAAGAATTAAGTACGATTATAAAAGCACTTGAAATTCCACAAGTAGAGGTAGACCCTTACCATTCCTCCACATTCTCAATAAAATAAGCCTACTCGGAAAGATGAAATTCACACATTTGAAAATTTGCAACTCGTAATGCTTTCCGTTAACAAATTTCTTCTGATTAGATTAATCTGAGGAGACAAGGATTTCCTGAAAATAATGAACTCCAGAAATGCTAAAAAACACCAGAATAACCTTCCGTGCACAACTTAGCATGATCCCTTTAAGTGCATGTTACTTCCTTAACTCCAATAATAATAATAAATAAATAAATAATTGCAGGATATTAATTATGAAGAAAATTTTCGAATTCTCCATGGACTACCTTATAACAAACAAATTAAGATATCCTACTAAATAACAGGAAAGAAAGATGAAGTAGAAGCCACCATCTGACAGAGATGAAACGGTGGATAGTAGAAACAAAACCCAGTTCACAAACAACAGTTTTTAAGTGAAAAAAAAAACTCCGCAAATTAAGAAGCAACTAAGAAGAGTAGTATAAGTTAATAACCTTCATAAGAGCATTTCTTGAGCATCTTTTCAAGGATTTTTAACCAGGTGGGATCATCATCGACAACGAGAACACGAAGACCAGCAGGAAAAGAATCATTTCGAGGAGAAGAGAAACCATTATGCTCCATCATGGACAGAGACAGATAAGCAGAGAGAGAGAGAGAGAGATAGAGTCAGTTAGTAGTGTGTGCGCGTGTGAGAGAGATTGAGGATATTATTAGAGCAGTGGCAGTAATCTTTAAAGAGAGAAACTTGTCTGGGGTTTTAAAGTGAAATTGGGTCTGTTTGTTTGGGTTTTAAGAGAAGAAACGGAGAGAGCGACAGACAGACATGCACTGTTGAGAAAGTGAGTGGAGAGAAAGAAAGCACCAAACAGAATATTGGCATTGGCGCCGGTTTAGGCTATAGCTTAACGGTTCCCGTTGAGTTCTTGTTAACCTTTGCCACCTCAACTTGCCTCTCTCTTTCGAACGACAGATTATAAAAATAACTTCTTAAAGAATACACAGTTCTATTCCATGAATGGCTAGCTGATTAAAACGGTAGAATCATCCAACAAAAGGGCCAAATTGTCTCGACAGGTAAAAGCTGGATTTTTAAAAGGCGAAGAAAGCAGTCACGTCCTTGAATTTTAATCCATTTGGAGGTTGAGTTCTTAAATTTTTTTTATTAGGTTTGAGAATCCTTGAATTTTTAATTTTTTAATATTTAATTCATCTAATGATTTTCAGTTATTATCTTGGCCTATAAAAAAAATCAATTCCTTACATTTTGAACTGTAATTTTACATATCTATCAGAAAAAATTCAATCCAGTTAATTTATAGAAAAAATAGAAAATAATCCTGAAATAATCTTAAATTATTTTTTAGAAACCTCATATAAATCTTACTAAATGATTTTTATTATGAAACTATTTATATGATTGTTATTTTTTGAGATAAATAACAAAAGTTTAAATGATGGGATAAAGTTTTTTAAAAAAATTAAGATTTAAACATCTCCAATATTAATAAATAAAATTAAAAATCAAGAGATTCATTTTCAAATGAATTAAAATTTGAAAACAGTTAAAACAATTTCAGGTTTTTGAAAATAGTGTTTTTCCTTTCAGCTATACTTTTTTACTACAATATTTGACCATGGTGAACAAAAGGGACAAGAAATCATCTTCATTAATTTTGCAGCTCAAAAGGGGAGAAAAAGATCGGAATTAGCTTTAGAAATCGAATGTAGAATTTACTTTATGGTAAAAGATAGAACCTGACATGGAATTAAAGAATGTTTGAATGGGAAAAGGCATCTCGATCACGGAATTTTACAAGTTAATCCAGTTAAATTAATGATATTTTGCTTTCCAATGGTATTTTTTTCCATCGAAACTGATCCAATAAATTATAATGGGATAATTAAGGGAAAGGCTAATGTTAATTAATTAATAAAGACAATCATGGATAGATCGTCTATATTCCATGATTAATGAGTTGGGAGGACCACTTTAACAATTTTTTTAAAGATAAAATGTTAATAATAAATTAAATTTATAAGGATGGTTAATGCTTCCCACTTGTTACAATTTTATTTTATTTTAATTTTTTTGAACTTTTCATAGAATATAATGTGCATAATTGACGAAAAAATTAATATTTTAATTTTTTCCCCGATACAGTTAAAGTTAGAACGTGGAATCTTGGCATCCTTTCGCATTGCAATTCTGACAGGGGGAAACAATAGTAGGTCGGTCACCAATGTCCTTAGCTTTTACCATTCTTCTTTCAGGGTGTTCGAGTGGAAACGTTTGTATGAATTGAGGAAAGAATTTCGAGTGAGACTAAGAACCGGTAGGGACAGGAACAGGAGCGTTCCATGCATGACACCTTCCAACCATTTTTGTCTGTATCTAAGAATTGGCATGATTAGATAGTGTCATTTTCAAAAAGAACTTCGTATAATATGTTACCATAAATTAATCTATTATTGCATTTTGTGTTTTTATAAATCCGTTCAATAAGTTGTTTTTGTATTTCTAATTTGATCAATTAAATATTTATATTTTTAATTTCAGTTATCTGAGTGCGATTTTCCAAAATTAATGGAAATATACCTGTTTAATTGATGAAAAAAATATAAACGTTTATTTGACGGATTAATAAAAATACAAAATGTAACTAGTGGGTTTACTGTTCAATGGCTGCCGAATAAAAACAAGAGCAAACCTAAAAAATGCATCACGATTATTGGGTTAGTATTGATTTTACCTAAAATATATTCTTCTATTAATTTGTCCCCAAACAATTTTGATTTTCAATTGGAGTCTTTTGTTATAATTTCTTAACAAAAAAAAAAAAATGTTAAAACTCCCTGTAAAATAACCTTATGTTTTAACAAAAGAAAAGATACAATTTAGATTTGTCCTAAAAATAATTTACGTGTGCATTGACGAAAAGTTGCATGAATAGCCCTCATATGAGAATAATAGGTGGTTGATCGAGTCCCTCGAATAGATGATCATATTTATTATTTATATTTATACAACAACAACCATAATATGATAATCTACCGATAAATAAGCGTCGATTTATAAGTCGGATCCAACAATCGATTTTTATGGATAGTATTCTTAAAAATTTAATTTCAGAATATTCGAAGCTGTATATTGGGAAGTATCCTTTAATCATATATACGGAAAAATTAGTTTCAAAATATGTAAAAATTTATCTGAAAATACTTTTATTGTTGAACCTAAAATTAAACAATTCATATGACAAGTAGTCTAATAACGACAAGTGCTCTAATAATATAAGCAACACTTTTTATGTATTCGCTCCAGAGTTTCCAAATCAAACGACCAAAGACAACTATGTACTTAAGCAAGCTAGCATCAATTCCTTAAATTAACTAAAGACTAGAAAATAGAGGATAAGATTTTTTTTTTTTTTTAATGTGGTAAAACCAGAAGAATATTAAAATGTCAATTGCCAAATCAATGGCAAAACAATTCATTATTTAAAAAAAAAAAAAATTACAAACTTGAGTATCGAACAAGACCACTTACTACTTGGCATTGGATTTTCACAATTCCAAAACACCCCATATATTTTTTCTCTTTGCCTCCAGTAATAATAAGAAATATGCTATCTTTAAAAACAGGTTACAAACTTAATTCAGCTATTTCGAAACTATTTAAAAGTTTTAATTTCTCCAAATCCGAAAAATCACTATGCATTTTTTCATGCTCTCTTCTTTATAAGTGTTTTTTTTAACCAAAAAAAAAAAAAAAAAAGCCTAGAAAAATGACCTATGCTAAAATAAAAGTGCGTTGAGATATGGTGATAGGACCTACATGCTAGCAACATATAAAAAGGAAAATCGAATCAACAACCGAATGAGCTAGCACGCATGTTAGCACAAGTTTGGTCGATTGTTTTTATCAATCCAAAAAAGAGTTTCTAAAATATCCATTTAGGTTTTACTTATTAGTAACCAATATGTTTATCTTGCTAGAAATTTTATGATATTCAATAAGTAATTATCAATATTTACTACATATAATGAGACAATAAACCTAAAAAAAAAATTAAAAGAATTGAGTCTGTATAAAAATATTTTTATTATTTTCAATAGATTTGAATTTTTTTTTTTTTTTTACAATTTTTTTTTTTAATGAAGTAAGTACTAATGTTTACTTCTTAAGTACGCATTTTCAAATATCTTTTTCAAAGAAATATTCGATCATATAAATAAAAGGCAAGAATACCTAGCTTTAGAACCAACAATCCTTTTCATTTCAATCTTAGAGGATTTAGCTAGGAAATGTTTAATCAACTTTTCACTGTTTGTTCAAAGTTTACATTTTTGTTATAATTTTTCTATGAACATTTTATTTTTTTGGTAATTAATTTTAGGTTATCGTTTTTTTTTAAAAAAAAATTGTATTCAAATTTTATGTTCATTTTGTTGTCAATAATATAGGATAGGGATATTTTAAATATTTCCTTAATATGTATTAACACTCAATCGTTATGATTGGTACTTCTTATAATTTTTATTTTATTTTAATATTTGAATTATATGGTTGTTGGATGGGCGACGAGATCACTACTAGATAAGAGGTTTGGTGGAAGATTTGGACTCGGTTTAAATCCAACTATCATTGTTTTGGAATGCTTTAAGGTGTGGAAATTTCAAATTGAAAAAGCTAAAACTAATTTTTTCTTTTAGTTTGATTTGAGTTTGAAAATAAGTTTTGATATTGAAATATTTGTAATGTTGTAATGATTATTTTGATGGTCTTTTAAAGTGAACGGTAGATAGAATGGTAGAGTTATAGTTGTGAGAGATAATAAAATAATTCAAATTTTGAATAGATTTGCATACGTACAATCATATATAGGATTTAAAATCTTAATGTGTCATATGGTTATCGGGAATAAAAGATCTGAAATGAGAATGCAAGAATTGAAATGAAAATTGGGGACTCGGAACGGCATTTACTTTCCTATACTTGTGTTTGGAATACTAATAAAGAATCGAAATGCAATTTAAATTTTTAATATTTGACTTTTTATATAAATAAAAATAATGATTAAAAAAATAATTTTATGAAAACTATAATGATTATAAAAATAATAAAGATGATAGTGGTGTCGGTGTTGGTGGTGGTGCTTCTAGTGAGAGATGGAAGTAGTTGTAGTGACGACGAGTTGTGATTGTAGTGACGGTAGAAGTAGTTAATATATAATATATAAATAAATATATTATTATTTAAAAAAATTCATTCTTATTCCTTATTCTTATTTCCATCTTTTAAATGGGAATAAAGTTATTTGTAATTTTTATTTTCATTCTCACTTTTCATTCCTATTTCACTTCATTAATTCCTTTCAACCAAACAACCATAACGTGAGAATAAAACTTTTATTTTTATTTTTATTACTCTATTCACGATAATCAAACAACACTTAAAAGATAATATTTGAGTTGAGCATCTTGTAGGAGTATTGGATTTTATTTCTTATTGTTTAAATATAATGTATGAGAATTATATCGGTAAAAATAATTGTATTAATTAGCACAACTCAAATGAAAGCTCATTGTATAAAATATATATTGAAATGGTCAAAATTATTCAA